GCTATCATCCAAGTATACAATGTTATGAATAATAATGAATAATTCAAGCCTCTAGAGACTTGGGTTGGACTCAGCGCCCGAGTCACGCTGTTACAGGTGTCACATAGGGTGACAGATGTCCCAAAAAGGAAATTTTCGCCGTTTGACTGTACAATCATCAGGGAATGTCACAGATCGTCACAAAATCAAAGTTGTGTATTTTGACTATACAAACAACTTTCATTAAGTGACCTATAGTTGCAGCTGAATAATTGTGCTGGCATTAACCAATGATTGGCTGATCTACACTTATTACAGTGATATATCACTGAGTAAACAACCTATAAAGGTGATTGAAGCACTACCAAGGGTGCCTAAGTAATAAGATCAATATCCTGGACAATCAAATGCCATTAGTGTAGCTATATCATCTGATGATGATTCATCACCTACATTGATGCTGCAGTATCTCTACCAATCCTGCATCAAGTCAGATGATTCTTGTACTGGTAGGTAGATCATAACCTAGTGTTCATATGATCTGATGTGATCATGGTCTTATATCTTGAGACTATGATATTACACCGTTTTTCTCTAGTTTTCATGTGTCAAATTTGATCAAACTCAATGATCACTTGATATCTCACTGGAAAATCCATGGATAAGCATAATCTAAGTTGTGCTATGTTATAATGGATGTAATGGATAGAGATGTGGTAGACCATACTATGGTTTCATATCAACTTGGATCATAAGATTCCATGCATGTAGTCCTAAGATATCAGCTAAATACTGCTCCACTTAGTATTTAGGTATTCTTGGGAGTGAATAAATGAAGATAATGATAAAGAAAAACATAGCTGATGAAGCTCAAAAGATAGTAGGATAGTATATCTTCCCAATGAACTCTCTCCCAGCTTTATCCACCAAGGCTAGCTGGTGATATATGCTTATCTTTCAGAGGTGATGGAGATCAAAGGCCACTGATAAATGAATGCATTACATTCTTGGTGCCATATTCACTAGGACTTCGGAGCATACATACCAGAGCTTTATGTTAGAGTAGCCAAACTTGCAAGTTGGCCACCTTACATCATTTTTAAAGTACTAAATATTCAATTTTCATAACTGAATAGTCAATATTGCCATCATATCAAATGATAGTAATCCAAATACCTTATGAATCAATAGTGCTTTTGAGACCCTTCCTGCTAATACTTGATTCATGCTTTTAGCTCAAGCAGGTATGGATATAAAGGCCTATCAGTTATACATGAGCTGATGATGGGTCAGTGCTAACATACTTATTGAGCTGCTACCATAGGTTACTTAATGAAAGTTGTTTATATAGTCAAAACATACAACTTTCATTTTGTGACGATGTGTGACACTTTCTGATGATCATACAGTCAAACGGCGAAAATTTCCTTTTTGGGAGATATGTCACACCTGTGACCTCATATAACAGTGTCTAACAGCATGTCCGGAAGCTGAAACTAGTGTTTGATTATCAATATATATATAGTATAATATAGATGAGTATAACAAGCCTGTAGATGTCACATACCAGTGTCACATCTTGTTGTCCGAGTCCTATAGTGCCAGAATTATTCATAATTATCCATACCCAATGGACTTAGAGAGAAAAAGCCTTGGAACTCGTAATTATTCATTCTGCTTTTCATTAATTATTCATTACTATGGTGGAGAGAAAAACGGCCGTGAATTGTCTGCTCCAACCCGCTGGGGTGGACCCGACAATTCACGGTGGCTACTGGGCTGCACAGGTGGACAAATCGTCTAGTGAACTTTCAGCACTTACTACTTTTGGTTGCAATTCAAAGACCAATGGTTTTCTTTAGTGTTCAAACAATGAATTCCCTTACTAAACTCTTTCACAAACCAAGAGAATTCTTGATTTATTAACTTGAAAAGGAACCTTTGATTTTTGTCCATGGATAAATCATTTTCTGAAAGCCTGAAAAAAATCATTTGTTTTTCGTCTACAAAACCACATTCCAAAAGCAGTAACTTCCCTTTTTGGTTTAGTTCAAAAGTAGTACTTTTTAACTGACTTTTGCTGCTGAAATTTATATGAAACTCCAATATTTTAGGAACATATCATCAGGGAACCCCCCTTTCTTGGTTCTTAGAACCCTCTCTGGCTTGGCATCTGCTGCCCAAACTGTGTATGACATGTGGACAGTTGAGGATAAGTCTTTCTGTCGCTCAACTGAACTGTTTAGCGCTTGAAGTTCCTGGAAAAGATTCATAGGATTGGCAGAACTGAGCCTCCAGTGCCAAAATATTCTGGATTCTCATAGAGCACCTGTTAATCCCAGATATCCTCACATATTAGAAGGCTCGACCAGATGGGTCTGTCAGGGGAACCCCCACTTCGGCCTCCTTCAGACCCTCCGAACGCATCCGAGGCGCATCCGACCAGCGCCCCCTCGGACGCTCCGACCCACCCCGACCATCGTCCACGGCCTCCTTCGCCCGCACAATCACCGATCCGTCAAGACCCTCCCAACAATCACCTTGGGACAGAGCCTGCGACGCCGCTCAGGCCTTCTGCGCTCTACGTCAGCAGTTACGGACGACCAGTATGCCTTCGCAGGCTCTGTCCCAAGGTGATTGTTGGGAGGGTCTTGACGGATCGGTGATTGTGCGGGCGAAGGAGGCCAAGGACGAGGGTCGGGGTAGGTCAGAGCATCTGAGGGGGCGCTGGTCGGATACACCTCGGATGCGCTCGGACGGTCCAAAGGAGGCCAAAGCAGGGGTTCCCCTGACAATCTGATACAAAAAATATGAATTCAAATTATTAGGAAATTCTTGGCACTAGAGAAGCCCGGAAAGGTCAAGAATTACCTTTTTGAGGTGGTATTTTGTGCAAACTGTTAAGATGGTGAAAAAAAAATCCAATTTTATAGCCCGTGTAACATGTGACATATGTACTGAATAAAATGCTACAGTATGTTATTCAAAGCTACATATCTGCTTATTCCCAGTGTTTACTTGTTGGAATACCAGTAGGTATATCTACAATAATACCTCTGTTCTGTAAGGCTACTAGTGCTGACAGTACATCTTCATCTAATCTTACTAGGTCAAATTTCACAGTCACTTTTTCAATAGATGTGATCATAGATCCAGCAGAGAAGGACAGTAGCTGATGATCCTCAATAGCAGAAAGTATCTCCTCCAGTTCACCTGACAGAGGAGAGATCTGAATCTCAATGCTTTTTGCACTAGGAAGACAACTGCCATCTGACAGTACCATGCAGAAATCTTGGGAAGTAGCATCAAGAGTCCAGGCCGGATCCTTCAACATGAATTCTGTAATGCTTTGACTTGCTGGTAGCTGTACAAGGGACACCATGAAGTCATAAGGTGGGTATTCCAGTGATAAGGAAGTTAAAGAGCATTCTGAGTTGTTTAACATCTGTATCAGTCCTTGTCTGTGTGCAGGCTCTACTTCCTCATAAGCTGATCTATCTGAGGTGCACTTGGAGTATAGCACTTTCAGACATGGTACCACCAGTGAAGAGCCGATGCCCATGCTTGATTGATGGTTAAAAGTCAAGGTGTGCAAGGTAGGGAAAATGTGAGTTGTCAGCGCAATAGCATCCTCACCCTCTGCTGTGATAGTCCCCAGGGTAAGAGTCTGGAGGTTAGAACAACAATTCACTGCTGTGAGCATATTTTCAACATGGGAAATCTTTGATATCCCTAGGCTGGTCAACTGTGCCATTGGGAAACATAGGGTGGTAAGATAAGATGCTTTCCAGATATGAAGCTTTTGTAACTTGGGGGCAGCTTGAAAAATATTCTTTTGCTGATCTGAAAATTTCAGAGGAATTTCCGTGTGAAAAGCTTCCAAGAGAGGAAAGTCCAGAAGTGTCTGGCTAAGCCCTTCAAAATCGAGGTATGCATAGTTATCATACTGGGGCCTGGCATTCAAATGCACAGCTTTCCACTGAGCTGTATGCTCCAGTATAACTGGAGGGAAAGAGTCTGATGCTGTTGCAAATCCTATGAATATGTTGAGAGTAACACCAAGACCGCCTGCCAGCTGCAACTGTTGTTTCAGAAGGTTTCTGATATCAGCTTCATCGCGATATTGGGTCAGGAATAACTCTATATGCGTCCACAGTGTGGGGTCTGAGAACGCCACCGTGCGCCAATGTTGACACACTGCACAGAGCTTGAAAAGGATGATATCTGGCGAAACATCATCCCCTATGCGTGCGTCCGATATGGCGGCACTGAAGATTGCAGCTGTAATCTCAGTAGGAAGATTAAGGACAGGATAGACGGTTTGTGCAAGTTCTGCGTCGATTTCATTGCGTTCCTGTGCCAGTCTCTCGATGCGCCTATCGATCTCGACAAGACGGGCGCGGAGCTCAGAGGTTGTCTCTGTGCAGAGTAAGTACTTGAGACAGCATTGGGATGTTGAGGCACACTTTTGGACATGGGTTACAGCCGAGATGATCTTGGAGAAGGACGTCGATGGTAAGTGAAAGGATGAGAAGGCTCTTCCCAAACTTCAAACAAACAACAACAAATAGGCACCTGAGGCCATCGCGTGGCAGATTAGTATATTTTTATCTGACAATCGCACTATGGTATCAAGTACCATAGTTGGGGGAAAGAAAACATAAGAGTATGTATGTGGAGGGATAGATAAGAAAAACATAATAGTATGTATGTAAAGAGATAGATAACATTAGCGTATCCGTATATGTATGTTAATAGTGTCTGAAGATCAACCGTCTGCGTCCTAATGCAGCGACCTGAGCTGTTTTGTCACATGCGCCATCTCGACGTTCCACTCCCCGCTCCACCCCTCCTCCTTCCGAGGCTGGCCTGTCAGCGACGCAGAGGATGGGGATTGTGGCGACGGCGGAAGCGGAATAAACTCCGGAACAGGCTTCCTCTTGACACGGAAGCCTGATTGCACCGCCTGCCCATGCTCCCCAGCCGTTCCGAACACCGTGTGTGGACGAGCTACGCCGCCATCAACGCGAGGCCGTGCCGTCGCAAGTGGAGGCGATCGCGTCGAAGACGAACGCAAAAAGGATGTCATGGGAGAAAATGTGGGGCTCGCCCTAGATGACTGTGAGCCAGGCTTCAAGAATGGTAGGGTAAGTGGCACGGATAAAAGCTGGGACGAAGGCACGACTGCGGGAGCGGGCGGAGCAGAAACGAGAACGAAGGATTCATCACTGTCAGACGTGGTGGAATACATTGACAGTGAGCGAGCCATCGTTTGAGGGCGTGGAGCCGGAGAACGTGAAGATTCAAGTCCGAATACGCTAGTCGAGCGGCGAAGGCCTGGTATTGGAACGGGAGACGACTGCAGTAATTCGGGAGCGACATTTTCCCCCAACGTCCGGCTGAGTTTTGCAGCATGTTGTCTCCGTCTGTCTTGCGGAGCTTTAAGCTCCACGACAGGAGGAGAGGGAGTGCGGGAGGAGTTAATCGAGGTTGGTGAAAGGGGAATGGGTGGCGAAGAAAGTATATCGTCGGAAAGATCCCGAAAGCTACGGTGTCGTTCATCGAGGAAAAGATGGGCACAGTGGGGAGCGCAAAGGGGCCGTCCGTTAGTTTCGGGCGAGGTCCAACGACAATTCGCTCTCGGAGCGTTGAATACCGCTGCTTCGATATCTTGCGGGGCAGCACCAAGTACTGCTTGGAGTTTGCGAGTAGAGCGCACCAGGCGGCTCCTCTCAGATGGCGTCAAGGTGGGAGTTGTTTGTGATCCAGTCAACATGAGATGGGAGGGAGGTTTGGAGTCGCAATGTCGATCCCGAAGGCGCAGTGGCCTTTATCGAAAACGATGCCAATCGGAAGGGGGACAGGAGTATGTCGGTAGCGCCAACTCGATCTACAGCAGTAACAATAGCCAAGCTGTTTGTTACACTCTATTGGCCTTTTATAGCCGTTGGCGACCCGAGAAGAAAGCAAAAAGCCAATGGGATTGGTGTTTTGTTGGTTTTATTGCCTGAGCTCGGTATGGGGGCGGTGAGAATGTATATGGATTGGCGATCGAGGAACTTGAAGGTATGACGACCCTGAGGCCGATCATGACAACAACGCTAGGTTGCTTTTGAGTTTAGGAGGAGGTCGAAGAATGATCTCATACCAAGTACATCCAGTCGTTTGGCACGGAAGCAGAATGACCATCCAGCCCCCAAATAGAGACTGAAGATTGAGTTCACAGGAAACCAAGTCAATCGGCACGAAACGTACATATGGCCAACCAACCGAGAATCTCGGCAAGAACTCCGCGACCAAGATAGTGAGGCCTCGCATGTGCATCGTTGTACTGCAGGTCTTCGGCGAATTGCATTCTGGCAAAACACTCAGTCCAAGTCGAATATGAAGAATTGAACTATGCACCGTCCTCCCATCTCCCGGAACGATGAAAACCAGGCTGCGGCAAGGAGTCTTTCGCCCAACGTAAAGTGTTGTCGGCCGTCCGCGACTCCGCATACTGTTAATGCTCGCCAGGAGCAGCGCTAAAACGACCAGGCGCGCATTTCTCTTGAATTATCTCATAGAACCGAGGCCTTGGGTTCTATACTAACCAAGTATCATGAGCAAGAGCAAACTCTGGAGGAGGACGACATACTATGCGACGGGGGTTTGGGGGAGAAGACCGGTCATATCAAGGATGTCGGCTCAAGTATTCGGGCGAGGGCATGATGCTCTGGAGGTCGAATCGCCCGAAACCATCGTGTTCTGTGCGGGACAAGTAAGCAGGAGGCAGCAATAATGGAAAAGACGACCGACCAGCCGATGCCTGTATCCGGGAGGACGGGTGTCGCAGTAGAGGAGCAGTGCTATTCTGCGTAAGAGCACAACGTAGTAGCGTGTCGACACGCTCGTCGGTGACCAGGCAGGAGAGGGAAGAAAAAAAAAAAAGATGCGTGACATGCCGTGTCACGCCTTTCCCACACTCGGTGTAGGTCAAATGATCGAAGGTAAGCCGACGTAGCGGCGTAGCACAAACTGATCCTCACTTTCAATATATTACTACCTTTTTTGCAATTGATCAACTCAAGTTCATCTTTGACACATACTCAAGCACTTGATCGAAAATGGTAGGATTATGAAAATACAAGTACTCCCTTAAATATAAAACAGGCTCAGCTAATACTATTCATATACTATATCATTTGTCAACTCAACATACCAAGTTAGAAGCCTTTTAGCACGCTTTGCTGTATCCTTTGCCAATTGTATCAACCGTCTTTCCTCCAATCGTACCTCCTCTGCTGCATGATTGTTGATTTTTTTCCCTAAAACATCTCCTAGAATAGCTAAGCCATTGAGACCATCACTGCCACATCGAATTCGTGATAGCATCACATAAGCAGAAGATATGGAGGCACAACTTTCTAGATGAATTAACCCTTTATTCAATGACCGACTTTGTGAGTTATGAGATGTGAATGCAAAACCAGGTATCAGTGGCAGCTGCTGGCGCATTGCAGAATATGTATTGCCAGATTTTTGCTGAACAAACTTGATTGGCCTTGTCACAGCTGCCAGGACCAAACGATGAGGATGTGCAGCTTGTGGATTGGAAGAGGTATAAGAGGCTAGCTCAACCTCAGCAGTAATAGCATAACGGCGACCATTATGTCGCTCAAATGTGAGGCCAACCAAAGTGCCTCTACTTCCATTGGAGAGTCCCAATTCTACTGCAATATTTTCAACAACATAGACAGGCATGCCAATAATAAGAGGAAGACGGCCACTGAGATCTCCTGCATGAGATTTGATAGGTGTATTCCATGCATCATTAGCATTGGAATGCTGAAGCTCAACCTTGTCATCACCTCTTCCAATGGTATCTTTGGCATAATAAACACCAAATTCTTGTCCTGTGGCAGCAGCAAAAGACTGAGATGAGAGCCAGTTATGTGTGTTCCGCACATGATTTGTATATGTAATCAGAGGTGCTGCATTATCTGGAGAGGTAAACCAGTCTAGAATATTCATGAAATTTTTGGGGACAATAGAGTTTATGGCACCAAGTTGATACTGCTGAAGAAAGTCTAAATCATTGTTGGGGCCTGAAATAGTACACATTCCACGTCTAAGCCGGTTGAGAAGAGCAACATAGGGTGGATATTTTTGCCTGACAACTTCATCAAAAATGACACAGTCTCTAATAGACCAGTAGTTTTTAATAGCTGTAACCTTTCTCCTAACACCTGGATTTAGAGATTGAAGCTGGGAGTTTGAACGAAATATTGATGTATACTCAGATGAAAATAATGGAACTTGTCGTGGACTAGTCAGCTGATATTCATCTCCAGATAAAATAATATCTTGATGTGCAAATGGGTCATCATCTACGTTCAAGGCAAGACACAGATGCTGGGACAGTTTCTCAAAATCATCACAGCCCAAAAAAAAGTATTCATCAATGATTGTTGTTTTGCAGCCTGTCAGCCGTTCCCGTAGTGATTTCATAGCCTTGGAGTTGTGTTTCAAGAGTTTAGCAGTAGGAGTCCGTAAAGAAAAAGCTTGGAAGGTGGTTGAACCACCACAGTTGTTTGCAGCTACACCAGTAGGTGCTGTGAATAATAGTTCTTCAAGACAATTAATCCTATCATAATAAAACTTCAACGCATCATATAGATGGGATTTTCCAGCTCCTCCAGGACCACCAACAATTAGACGAAATGGTTCAGAGGTTACATTGTCCATTCTTGAAGTCACTTTCAATAGAAATGCTAGACGCTGTTTACGGTTCAAGGTAAACTTTTGAATAGTTTCTAAGGCAAGGAGTTTCCAGTATTCAAGTTCATGATTTTCAGAAACCACTCTTGTTATTTTATCATACAATGAAAGCTCTTCTTGAGAGAAAGATGTAACTTCCGGTAATAGCTGAGAACTAGAAGAGTTTCCTATCCGAGATGGTCTTTGGTTAGAATGTTGTGTTTCTAATAAATTTTAATTAATACTATTTAAAATTGGTATATTAATAAATTTATACCTTGATGTATTTTAATAGCTCTTGCAGCAGCTACCTCTTCAGCAATTCTTCGAGTTGCCTTCCGTGCTGTATTCCATGCTAATTCTGAATCTAATGCTTCTTCAGCAGGAGCCCAAGGTAAGTCTTCAATATCAATTTGATTTTGAGGCACATGATAACAGCCTTTTGCATCAGCAAGTGCTATCACAGCAGATGTACGTGCTTTTGCATAATCACTACATGTCTCTTGATAGCCACCAAGTTCTAACAGTTCAAAATCATCTGTTTCTTGGTTTGAGGCAAAAATATTCTCCTCATCTTGAATTTGTCCAAGTTGCCAATCCACATCATTTGTTAGCTCTGTATCATCAGTGTCTGTTCTGTCTGTACCAAGTGAAATAGTCGCAGAACCTAAAAAGTTGCTGATTCGTGCTTTGTAATTATCTGTAAACTTTTTGGCTGCAAGTCGACATTCCCATTGTTCTTGAAAATGACCAATGATCTTCAGCTTCTCAGCAGATAGTGATGATAACATATTCTGCAAGGCTATTTCCCAAGAAACCTCTGGATTTACTCTGAGTGGATTTTCATGAGAACTATATATAATATTAAAATGATATAAAATAAAAGCTAGATTCATACCGATACCAAGGCTGAAACAGGGATAACATTGCAATTGCATATCGATTACGATGTGAAGCCAAATCACTTCGTGGAATTGGTGTTCCAGATAATACAGGAATACAAGAAACTCTGCGTTTTCGTAAAACATGTGAACCTTGTTGAGGATGACCACTAGTAAAATAGAAAAAACTTGATTTTGATGATGCTATATTTATATCAATATATTAATCAGTTATAAAGTCAGCAAACACTAACCCGTGAAACCTATATTATCATCATCATCATCATTCTCTGTATCAGAATCTTCATGATTTCTATCTTGACTTGCAGTTTCTTTTTTGTGCCTAAGTTTCCATATAGGTATCTTCTCATATAGACAACATTGGTCCCACATGCAGATATTCTCAAGCTCATTAGGCCTAAAAAGAATATCATGAGCCAGTGAATTAGGAGGTGGTAGCTCATGTGAATTCAGAATAGCAGTAGATGAAGCTAGGTCAAGAAGATTATCTGGATCAATAACATCTTCATCAGGACTAAGAGCATCAATATAATATTTTAATAACCTAGCAAATAACTTACTCATGATCAGGAACTAATAAATCTGCCATAGGCAATGGGTTCCTAAGTCAATAATAAACATACATCAATATATAAGGAGATGAATTCACATACTCTATTAACTCTGGTGAATCCTCTTCATTACCAACTTCTTCTTCTCCTTCTTCTTCTTCTAGTTGAATATCTTGAAAATGTGGGGGGAAATCCTGAGGAGAAAGCCAACAAAGCAACTTGGTCCAATAGTAAACAGCAAAATGCTCGTTTGTAACATGGTTTCCTATTCCAAGCAAAGCAGATGCCACAGCTTGACCTGACATCTCTGAACGTGCATTGATTTGATTCAAAGTCTTTAACAACAACTTTCGACATTGTTCTTCTTCTTTAGATACAGATGTAGCTGAGTCTGTATCAAGAAGTGACTTAGTTGCAGCAGCTAATGCACTCATAATAGTTGCTGAATCTACAGAGGGCTTGACAGTATATAGAGTGCAGTATGTGACCATAACTAGAGCAATAAGACCTGATCCAATGAACCTGCCATTAGTATTGCATTGTAAGCCTCCAGATATAGTGGGATTATAGCTAACAACAAATGGATTGGCTCGTTTCTGAGAAATTGTACCATCAGGTTCTTCTAGAATAGTATAGGGTACAATAGCAGCAGGATAGCCAAATCTACACAGCTTATCCATATCATCTGGTGTTAATTTGTTCATGCTAAAAGGAAGTTTTTTGAAACATGTTTCACTATGCTTATGAACCTGTGCAGATTGATCAAGAATATCTCTGAGATATTGAGGCCATATAGTATCAAAGGATGGATCATAGGGATGTGGTGGTCTTCCCATCAAGCAAGCTTTATCCTTTTCATAAACTCCTGTGCTTAAATCCCTAGTATTATCAGGTAAATCATGTTTAAGAATATTTTCAAGCCAAGAAAACATTCTGGTCTTGAATAGATCATCTGCTCTTAATCGATCATATAATACTTGAGGTGAAGGTGCTCCTAATTTTGCAATTTAGTCATGAAAGATATAGCATATGTAAACCTACCCTCTAGCCAAATCAACATATGCATATGTAAGGAGCCACGATTTTGTGTTTCAAAAACCCCATAATAGTGCTTAACTCGACCAAATACACCTCGCTTATTATTGCGACCACATCCCAAAAAGATATTAACAAATAGATCAACCATTAGTTTGAAAAACTGAGCTCCAGCTACAGGATTTGAGGCCAACAGATGTGCTCGGTTAAATGAGGAAAATTGAGAATCTGGGTTGCTAAAAAGAGCCTCGAGATCAATATCCTTTCCAGCTTTGAATGTAAGAAGTGGATTGTGTGCATCTGCAGGATTTAATGTGAAGAATAATGATAAAGTGCCAGAATTACGGCTAATTGCTGTAATTTCTTCTCGCATACGAAGAAGAGCTGCATGAGATCCTTCAATATTATCTGACACATAATCAACGTATCGTAGAGTTTCCAATACAGCTGCTTCCTTATCATTCTCAGGCTTATAGGAAGAGTTATCTTTTTGAGCTTTCCGACTTTTCATTTTCTGCTCTAAATTATCCAGAGTCTCAATATCAAACTTTGACATGCTTATAACTGCCTGATCCCACCATTTCCTTTGAACTGCAAGATGAGAACGGAAGATTGATTGCCGGACCAGGATAATATTATGCATAACAAAAATGAAGCTAAGATGAGTTTGAAACCGACGGTCTGCTAGCTGAAGATAACGTCCAACATGTGACTTTAGTGGAATACGCTTGAAGCCCTTATCTTTTAGAAGTCGGACAGGGTCATCAAATGAGCCTAAACCATATGGAAAGAGTAAAGGCCATACACTGGCATAAAGCTGTGGATTATTACGGCTAGAAATGGTTTCCCTAGATGAATGTGTCTTGACAAAAGATTCATCATCATTTTTTAGCTTTCGTAAAATCTGGATTTTTTTTGCATTAAGAGAGCGTCGAGTATTTTCAATATCAAATGTTCCAGCAGTGCTAAATGGCACAGCTGTGCCTGTGCTGCTTGTTGAATCTATGAATATAGCCTCTGTTGTATCAATGCCATGACCAGTATAGGTAGAGTTTTGACTTCGGAGTGTATCACTTTGAGCTTGATACTAAACTGGAAATGGAACAATTCCATCTATAGGATATTGAGACAGTGTAACCTGATCAATCAGAATATCTCTGTAGCTTGAATTATTCTGTTTTAGCCAATTCAAGGCTCTTAATATATGTCCTCTTCGTACTACAAGTGGTGTACGCTTGAACATTTCTGGTGTTGCTTTTTGATTTTCAGTCACACAAATGACCACAATAAGATCATATAATGTATCAATTGGGTGTGGAAGTGTTGTAGCTAGAGAAGATATTTCATGTGGATGAAAGCAAACATTTCCAAATGCAGCTCGCTGGTATAATACTGGTGAAGAGCCAATATTTATACGAGTCCAGCATTTTGTTGCATGTGCACGAGCAATTACTAGTTCCTCTGCAAAAGACAAATCCTGCAAAGCTAAAGGAATATCTCCAATCCAGCAGCCATTAGCCCAGCTATAAAGAGGAAGCTTAATAAACTTGGCTGCATGAATACATTTTGTACATGTGCTGCAGGTGTAAAGAGATCCATCATGGAGGCGGTGTGATTCAATAGCTGGTTGACTATAATGGTTGCGAAGATATTGTACTGCAACTTCTAGAAGAGAGAAATCTAATTGTCCAGATTTCCAAATTTTTATATTCTGTTTAGTCTCATTGTGATTGCAGAATGAGCAAGGTAGTAGTTGCAGTGCAGCAGCAGATGTTTGAGCATGATATTCAGACAAGATCTAAGTTCAATGTTACTATAAATTATATTTTGCCAAACTAAAATATATTCACCTCCTTATGAGTTGTTTCTGGTTCAATCTGTGGCCAATTGGCAGCCCAGTATTGTTTATCTGCTATATCTTGTTCTTCCTTTTGCTTTTGGGAGTTATGTCTAGCTTGAGTACTATATGGAATCTGTGTGTCTGTTCTAGTACTATAAGAACTAGAGTGTCCAGATGAAATAGTGCTAGGGGTAGCTGAAAAGCCTGCTGTAATAGCATCATCATAATGAACAACACAGGACTGTTCACATTGATGTTCTACACAACGCTGAAGTAAAACAGCCTTGTTGCCAGATTTAATACTATGTTCTGCTGCCAGATTTTGTAGTCTACGATAGAACTGCCCATCAAGACGGTTTAAGCTATTCAAAACCTTATGGAAGATAATAGTCTTAGAGTCAGATAGCAATCCTGATGCAAATACATGCTCTATTTGTGACTCAGTAAGGTTTAAAGATGAGATTTAGAAGGTACCAGTAGGTGAATAAAGCTGTTGCCGTTTGCTGGGTCCAGCATCTTCAGTTTGATCTTGAAAGCTACGTTTTGGTGGCATTTGGAGGTCAAAGAGGGGGTGAAGGGAGAAAGCAAGAAGCGTTCGGAAGCCTCTGACTCGGAGTGGGCCGACGGCGTGAGAGGACAGAAGCCGGGACGAAATATATCCGGTTTGACGTGAGAGCCATCAGAGTTACAGGGGTCGTGACAATCATTCTCATTCTCGACGGTCCATTAGCACAAACTTAAATCAGTTTGTGAACGTGCATAGATTTCGAGTAAGTACCTCTACCTATATATTCACAGCTCAATCTTAACGAGCTCCTGGCTAGCAGTCTCCAGCCGCTCCCTCTTCTTCGTCAGCTCCTCCCGCTTGTTCGCCACACTTGGACTTTCTTGGGCCAGCTCGCGGCAGATCCGGTCACCCTCCTTCCCGCCGATACCGAGATTCGTATACAGCAGCGGGAGCAGGTCGCGGCCCACGCCGCGCACGAGCTCGTAGTCGATCGCAAGCGGGATATTGTCGATAACCCGCTTATAAGCGACTGTAAAACAGGTTAAAACTTACGAGCAATACCAGCATTAGAACAAGGTGACTAACCTTGGAAGTAAGCCCGCACATCCGCCATGATTGCCAGGGCCGGCTCCATCTGGTCCTGCGGCAGCAGCTTCGCAAAGTCCTCTGCCTTCAGCCCGCTCAGCCCCATCGTCGCAAACTGCCCCAAAATCGAGTTGATTGTGCCGAGCACGCTGTCGTTTTTGGAGTCACCGGCCTGCGCATAGTTGTCGATCTCAGTCGCAAACTGGTTGTTTGTCGCCCGTTTGCGCGTGGTTCGATAGCGGGCGAGATACTTGGCGCGGTAGTCCGCCAGGTAGTGGTCGTTAAACGTCATGGGTGCGGGGGTTTCAAGCAGGATTAGCTTCTTCACAAGCGCTCCGGCTTCTTCGGTGCGTTTCTTCAAATGTTGCTGCAAGAGAATCCTACATTCGTCAGTCAGTATATTGTGGTTGCAGCCCAAGAAGTGCATCGACCCACATAATGCGATTCTCCAAACCCCCTTGTCCGAATGCCGAGAAGTGCTGAGAGACCAACACCTTGATCTGTTCTCCCAGAGTAGCACTGATAGAACGGCAGAGGATATGGGCCGGTGCATCCCATTTCGCAGTAAACTCTTGGATGAATGAGACTTGGACAAAGAAAGGATGGTGTCCTGGAAGCTCGCGCGCACGAGCACTAGAAGATATTACTTTTCAGTGGATGGAAATTGCTATAGAAAATGACCCACTCGTTAGCTCGTTTAGCGACTTCGTCAACGAAGATCGTCTCCCCATCCGGCACCTCTTCGCCCTCTGGTATAGCTAAGAGCGCCTCGAAGTCAAGGTCGTCAGCGACCTTAGCATGAGTGGAGCCATCAAGGGGGCAGAAGTTCGGTACCGTGTGCTGAATGGCATCGCGGAACTTCTCCTGGGCCGGTCGAATGCGCTGAATGAGCCCATCCACGCGAGGAACTCCGTCGACCATCTGCTTGAGGTCTTGTACAAACGCAGAAAGCATCGCGGCAACCTCTGCGACGGGATCGGCTGATGGCGGATTCGGAAGTTGCTGAAGGCTGTCGTAAGTCTGCTGAATCGACTTGTCCAGCTCGACCTGGATTTCAGGCAGTCTATTAGGTGTTATTTTAACGCGACAAGGGATATCGATGGCGGAACACACCGTTTCGCAATAAGGTCGGACAAAATAGCGCTGAGCCGGTCCACAAGGTTGGGCGTGCGCAAATACTTGTGGTACATCGAATCGAGACTTGCCCAGGCTGGTGTCAAGCGGAAAAAGTCGTTTTCGCTCTCGCGAGCCTCGCTCCAGTTCATGCCCTGTTTCATGTCCGCGGAACTTGGCTGCTTGACGCAGTACCAGTTGTTTTCGAGGGGCTCCATTTCGTTGCGAAGGAGTGGAAGCCAGTGTTCCTCCTCCCCGGTAGGGATACGATCCGGCTTGGTGAGGACACCTGTCTCACCGTTAATAACATTGATCAAGCAGCGTTAACCAGGGCGATACCAATAGTCCGTTTTCCTTCAGGGTCATGTTTCTTTGTCAAATGGTGGGCTCCTTGATTCTCAAAATCCGCTGAGGGAACACATGAGTGAGTCATCATTGAGGCAAGTCTTGCACATACTTTCGCAAGCCACAGTAAGAAGAATCACACAGCTCGGCTTGCAGATATAGGACTCCACAAGGCGCTCGACCATCTTGATATCGCGATCGTCTCCACCGCGACTGACGCTGGCAATAAGACCTATAGAAATTAATTATAAGTTCACACTGAAAAGACAATAGACCCACCTGGCAAATCGACAAACGACAAATCCGCCAAGTTGGGCCCACTGATCGAGAGGGAGATAAAGTTGGTCGAGAATGACACCTCGTCTGGGTATCCGTCCTCGTTTTCGTCGGCGAGAAAGGACTGCGCCGATTTGCTAGGATTGAGGATCGCCCGCTGAGCACGACGAATGCGGTCTTCGACTTCGGCTTTGTGAGACACGGGGTCGCCAAAAGGTTCGGTGCGTGCGTGGCCAAGCGGCACTCCGTTCGCGTCAGTGATGAAACGCAGCTCGACGGTGCATTTCCAGGGGCCGTCCGATCGAGAGAGGCGGCACTCCGTGGGGCAACTACCAATAGTCATTCAATTAGTACATCATGATGGAAAGGGACACGACACAGACCGAGTGCATGTTCCAGCAGCTCGAGGAAGCGATACTCCAGAAATGGACTCGATGAGGGACGACTTGCCCGCACTTTGGCTGCCGATGACTGCAATTCGGGGCAGGTCAATGTCAAGCTGGACGCTGAACTCGGGAGGTCAGATACTACGACGACCCTGAGGGACGGAAGACCACGTACCCCGTGTTTTGCAAGCGATTGACAAGGTCCAGCATAGCTCGACGCCCTCTGGCGATGGTGGGATCCGAGAGGCCAACGCCACCCTGAGCTTGAGGCGTCAAAGTCTTCCCACCGTCAGAGGTGTCAGAGGAAGAGTCACTGTCAGTGAACATGGTGGAATGAGAGAGAGAGAGTGGCGAGAGCCAGGTGAGCCGCATTTAACACCCCACCAGCGCCTAATTCTCTTTGTGCGTTGTTCCAGAAGGAGCGGCGGCGCAAGGGATCAAATCGAGAAAGGATAAAAGAGCCTCGTTTATGCACGCATGGCCGGCTTCTTTGTAGTTCGTAAACGCCCACCAGCGTCATCAAGTCCGCGTTGGGTGGGTTTGCGGCGTCGAGGGCGAGCAAAAGCTAGGTCATGATGGTCGACCGAAGAACCGCGACAGCCATGTGGCGATCAATGATTGCCGTCTGGATAGTGTCATGGACGTCACGTCACGTCCACATGACACCATCCAGGCTTCATCTCTGCCATCATGGAAGGGAAGTAAACTGTTGCAACCGGACTCGCGCTCATTGCGAGCAACATATGCAGCTAAGTTGCCTGTGGAGATTGAACGCGAAATCGTCGAGCTCGCAGCCGCGTCAGACGTGACGTGTATCCCGTCGCTTATGCAGGTAGCACATAGGACGCTGGACTGGTACGCAAGACAACTGCTGCATGCCATATTAACATAACGCAGGTCTGAGCCGTTCCTGTACACCTCCGTTCAACTCGACAGCGGAAGCCCAGATGCCATTGAACACATTTTCTTTTTAAGAGGTAGAACGCGGCCCGCTGACTTTTTCGCGCGCGCGCAGTTCGCCACGTCACGCTGGAAGGGTGGTCGAGCCTCGTCGCCTCAGCACTCAAGCTTTGTACCAAAACCACGCACATTATCTTTGGACCCATGCACGATCCGGCACACGAAGCAGACATCTTTACTATCGTCTCTTCCCTACCCTTGCGGCGTCTGGCGACAGACCTCTGCGAGTTCTTTCCCGGCGTCGATAACTATATGACATACATAGGGCTACCTTTCTTCTCCCACCTGACACACCTCGATATGCTTGACGACTCCGAAAGCCAAATAGAGCGCCTCTCACCACTTCTCATTCGCCTCCCCGTGCTTACCCATCTCGCGCTTGCCGTTCTTCCTCTCTCCTCCATAATCCAACGACTTCTGGAAGGTTGTCTTCATCTCCAGGTGCTGGTTATCCTCTGGGAGGCCTTTCATTCTAGGGTGGGCCGTACCGCCGCGGCTGAAATCACCGAGCATGTCAGTGATCCGCGGTTTGTGATGACTATCTATCACGAGTGGGACGAAGGTGTTCGCCTGTCGGATTGGGACAACGGAGCCTCAACATACTGGTATCGAGCGCAGTCGTTCATAGCTTCAAAGAGGAGGCAGGACATTCCGAGTGAGTCATTCCTATATAAGCTTCAAGCTATCACTGATGGGCGTCTCCATCAGTGGATTGTTTCTGGGCCGAGGATTAAGTGTAAGTATCAGTATCAATCCGGAATAACTGTCTGATCGGATGGTAGTTCCAATAGCAACAGTTATGCCGCGGCAGTAACTACAGAGCCTGTTCCGAGCGAGAGCCACATAAATAGCAAGCTGCGAATGAGGATCGCGTACAATGCAGCCCGATCCGGAGCAGTCATCGCCATTGCCCGATGAACTCCAGCGAGCGATTTTTAAGCTCGCGACTATTTCTGACCCAGCTGGCGCCAAGCCGCTCATGCAAGTCTCCCAAAAGACTCTGATCTGGTGTGTCCATCTTGGCCAAGACATAGAATGCCTCCGAATACAAGTTGCGTTAGGACAGAGGCAGTTCTTTTCGCCGCCGTGGTACTCGACAGCTCCAAACCAGACGCCATCCAACACAAGTTCTTCCCAGACGGCCGTGCCCGTCCGCCCGAGTTCTTCGCGGCCACCGTGCGCCACGTAGAAGTGCGAGGCTGGTCGCCGCTCGTAGCCGCTGCACTGGAGCTTTGCACCGGCGCGACAGACGTGACGATGAACCGGATAGATCGGAACGAAGAGCGCGCCGAAGCCTTCCGGATCATATCGCAAATGCCGGTCTTGCGTCTCGCAGCAAACCTGAGTCGGCTGGTTCCTGACGTCGAGAACAGCATAACGTCCGTCGCCCTCCCGCTCTTCCAGCACATGACACATCTCGACCTCTTCGACGAGTGGGCCAACCTCCTCGGGCTGCTTGCACCGCTCCTGGTCGCCCTCCCGGCGCTCACACACCTGTTCTTTTCCTTCTTGCCGCCTGTGTCCCTACTCGACTCCCTGCTTGCTCAGTGCCCCCGTCTCGAGGTCCTGCTTGTCCGGTGGGAGCGCCGCTTGGTGTCGGATGGATATATGCCTACACCGGTAGTCCCGAGTGATTCCCGGTTCGTGATGGTCGGCTACGACGAGTGGGACCAAGAAGGTGGGATGTACTGGGAGTGCGCCGATCGGTTCTTCGCGCAGGGAGTCGCCCCCGTGTCCACATAGTTACCTGGCATAGTACCTGGCATTAGATAGCATTCAATAGCATTTGATGTGATCCTTCAAGTTAGGGGTGATTGGGATAAGAATTTGTTCATATATTTTCACAACTTGGAACAATAATAAATAAAACTCCATGAAAATTGATTTGATTTGTAAAGAATTCAGGCATATATTAAGTCATCAGATTGGACTGAACTCAAAGCCAATATCAGCTGACAATTTTGTGGCAATGATTTGCAACAAATAAATGCACCAAATATGTTACAAGATATAAGACCATAGATATCAAAAATCCCGGCCAGCACCAAAGTGTACCTAATATATCACAAAAAAGTGACAAATTGCCATTATATATGACAAATTGGGGCAATAATAATGTGACACTATTTCTTTGACAAATATTTGGGCTTGAATAATGTGCACTTATTGTTTACAAAACATGGTCCGGAATGGGGTAGTCATTATGTATGTGATATTTGATACCATGATATAGAACTTGATTTCTTGTAAATCAGATACAATTTTATTGCATATCAATGAAAATGGCAAAAAAGGCCATTGTTTTGGACAAAGTTTTGGACCATGATTTTCTATATATAAATCCTGCTTAGGGGACCATTTTTCGGCTGAAACCCCGGTGTGATTATAACAAATTGACTACAAATCTATCAACTTTCACTACAGAATACTGTCACGGATAAGACCCGGCCCGTCCGCTCTGGCGCTGGTGTCGGGCCATCGCGGGCCCGTAGCACGCAGCACGTGACGACGGGGAACATGCGCCCCAGTAGGAGGAACGCACTTGTGGGAAGCACGTGACCGAGAACGACGCCGTCGAGCCGTCGCCGAGCCCAACTCGACACAAGGGGACTGGGGAGGAGTGCTAGGAGGTTAGGAGTAGTGCCTGGCCCGCAAGGGATGTACGATCGTCCCCTCTGCGGCCAGGAACGGGAGCGAGGAGGAGGAGGAGAGGCCAGGGTGTCCGATCACCCCTTTGCGGGCCCGCGTATATAAGGCGCGATAGTGTACCCTGTACTCTATCGCTTAGATCGTCTGAAGAACTACCTTACTCCGTGCGAGGAGACATTATCGACTCATCGGGCCCGACACAACCCGATTCCAACCTTCGACCACCGACAGCGACAAGGGACCGAGTTCACGGGCCCTTTCGGTTTCGATCTATCTCGCCTGCTATACTTGCAGGCCTGACTATCCGTCTGTTCTGTTCCAGGCACGCGTTCTTAGGAGAGGTCCTTGCACGGCCCGACCCATGGTCTGATAGTACAATATCCTTTCATGGTGCTTCTTGCTTGCCTTCACTAGCCAACTGGCATCCTCTGAATTGCTGTTGGTTGTGACAATTCCTGGGTTTAGTGTATCTATGTAACACCTACTGTACTATTTCAATCAATTAATCCTATCATGGTCGCATTGACATTTTTGCCTGAAATTTTTCTGCCATTCACAGGGCACAACAAGTTTCTTTGGGTCCCACCATCCTAAACTGGCCCAAAATAGTAATTTTCAAATTTTCTGTGCCTATCTATAATATTAAACGACTACCGTGCCGGCATTAACAGAAAGTCATGTGGACGCACATGAAATTTACGTGTTTCACGTGTCACCCCTCTGATACTGCCCGTCTGTCATGAGCCACAGGCGAGCGGCCGTATGGGAGCTGGAAATTGTCTTTTTGTTATTGGACTCCATGCCAGAGGCACGGATGTTTATACTTGTGGTAAGTATTAAGGCAGGAGGTCACATGAAAGTTGGCTATTGTTAGGGGAACCCCTGCTTCAGCCTCCTTTGGACCATCCGAGTGCATCCAAGGTACACCCCCAGGCCCCTCGGATGCTCCGACCTACCCCAATCCTCGTCCTCGGCCTCCTTTGCCCGCACAATCACTGATCCGTCAAGAGTCCTAGGGATGAGCACGGGTCAACCCGCGGGTGACCGGAGGCTGACTCGGACCCGGACCTGCACAGCCACTGACCTGTGACCCGCGGGTCCGGGTCCGGATCACCCGCCGGGTTAGAAGGTGAAGGGCGACACAAATATGTCGGGAAAAAAAAGGAGAGGAGGCAGAGTTGAACCAGGGACCTCTTGATGAAGTGCAGACCAGCAGGGCGGCGGAATCAAGCATAAACCAGCTAGACTGAGTAGGCACGGGTCAAGTGCAAGCTGACCCGTACCCGTACCCGTACGGGTCAAACCCGCCAACCCGCGCGGGTCAGCCGGACCCGTGCTCATCCCTAGTCAAGACCCTCCCAACGATCACCTTGGGACAGAGCCTGCGACGCCACTCAGGCCTTCTGTGCTCTATATCGGCAGTTACAGACGACCAGTATATAGTTGGCGCCCTAGCAGGCGGACCCTTAGAGTTTCTTCTCTTTGGATCCTCCCCTGCTAGGTCGGTCCCTCCGTGTATCTCCGTAGCTTTTATTCACGCTTTGGATAAAATCTTGATTTTGCAGCTTTATGTCCCAATTAGACTTTACAGCTTTTCTTACCAAATTAGGGTTTCAATAGCAGTGGTCCCAAAAGTGGAAATGTGGAGTAAATAAATTGCTAAAGCTGATGCCAAACATGTGCATACATTCACACGACATCTGCTTAATATAAGAGTAGTAATGTGATGTCTGCCTAACAAAGACAGTGCCAATTGGTATGATGGCTAAAGGTGGGTTTGGCAGATAGTGATGACTCCATAGGACCATAAAGTTCACATTCCAGATCACTAAATTATATTTGAATATATTCATATCATATTGAATATCTGAGAGGAAATATGAATATAACATACTACAAATATATATTCTTCCAAGTATGCAAACATGATATGAATATAATATAATATCTAGATTGCATATTATATTTGTATTTGGTAACCCTGTTATTCTTGGGCCGTCTTACATTATGATCTGTGTATTATTTATCCAATCTAAAGTCAAATCAAGCCTAGCAAGGTTGGTCGGCGGAGCTGCTCAGGCTGTGGCCTGGCGTTACAGAGTGGTACTACTACTCTGTAACGTAGTACTACTCTGTAACGCTACCTTGTAGCACGAGAAACCAACGCAGTGTCTCAACAGAAACCGCTTTCTCAACAGTGTCTTCAAGTTGTCCAATAACGGTCATTGATCAAATCCTTTGTTCAGGGCATCGCCGAAGTTATCCGCAAGTTTTCTGAGGGTATAAAATGCAATCTTATTAAGTATTGAACAGATCCACTGTCATCTTGGTATAAAGTATCAAGCCATCCACTCGTATCCCCTAGCCCTTACTTCAGGGCCGGCTCGTTTTCCGCGAAGAACTCGTAGTTGTCCGCGTTCTGGATACTATAGAACGCGGTGGTTAGCATGGAAAACGATGAGGCGGTCGCGGGGCACGTACGCGGTATTGGGGTCACGGATCGCCAGCCCCTGCGCGGCGTTCTTGCCGCTGACAAAGTCCTGTGTGCCAGCGATCATGTGCGACGCTTCGTGGACGAGCACGCCGGCCTGCGAGTTGCTGCCCTTGGGCTTCGCGGTGAAGAAGAGCTTGCAGATGTTGATCGTGCCGAATCGCCGCGCGTCGACGAAGGCGAAGGCCTCGTCGAACGGGCAGGAGCAGTCGTACTGCAACGTATTAGCGCCAAGTGGGACAGGCAAACGCGGACTGGACTAACGGTGTACGAGTCAAACTTTTCGAACGCCATGTTCTGGAAGTTGACGAAGACGTCAGCGTGGCGCCCGAAATCGAGTTTGCCGAACCACGCAACGTAGCGGGGGGTCGATTTGGGGAGCTGGTTGGCCGGGACGGTGAGGTATTTGACCGCGCTGTCGACTAACTTCTGGGCCTCGGCGGCGGCAGCAGTAACCTGTTTCTGCTGGGTCGCACTACAGCCGCGGAATGTTGCCCGCCGGCCGAGGTGGGGGGTGGTACCCGGTGATGTCCGCGGCACGCGTCGCAAGGCAAGCTTCCCTTTCAGCGTCACGCTGGTCCCCTTGGCGGTGGCGAGAATGGGCGTCAGCTTCCCCGCGGCGTCGACGAACTCGAAGGCAGTACGCGGGACGATGTTGTATGCTCCAGCGCCGGATTTCGTGAAGTCATATCCTTTCGACACTGGATGCGGATGAGTCAGGTCCAACATATGAGCGCTCAAGACTCACAATCGTGCTTGACTTCTACAGACGCCCCCGGGGCCAGAACAGTGAAGCCGCTCGCCTTTTTCTGCGCTACGACGGTTTCCGGGGAGTATTTGATCTTGATGCCCCGGAAGGCTGGTGCCTTTTTGGCGGCGTTGGAGATAAGGAAGGTGTCCGTGTGGAGTGGGTTCAGCACCGTCCGCGGGTCCTTGAGCAGTTGGAGCTTGACGTCGCCCGTATTGACGATCTTGGCCGTAACAATGAGCGCGCCGACACCGTTCGCCTCCTTTGGGCCTGCGTTGAGTAGAGCCATGAGTGCGGGAATAGCGGGAGCGATGTATGCCTTACCAGTGAGCGTTACTGACAGTCCTGGTTTGGCGGAAACGGCGGCAGCCAAGATAATAGAAAAGAGAGCGGCAGGGAGAAGGGAAAACATCTTCGTCGACGAAGGAGAAAGAATAACGAGAAGCAAAGAGAAAGAGAAGCGGAAAAATGAATATCGCCTCCAAGAATCGCCGCGACTCTTTTATAGCGCGCCTGCCGTGCGGAAGTCAAAAGTGCCCAAGAGGCGTTTCGTCGTCGTGGAGTCGTGCGAATTCGTGTTACAATTGCCAGTGCCCCTCGGAGTCTCTGAGAAATTTCATCCTGAAGTCTTTCGCAGACTTGTTGAAACGATCGGAATGAGCTTTCAGCAGTTCTAGCGGGAGATATTTGCAAGCATAGGGTCGTGCGATACTTTGTCTGGTCCTCCCCTCGCCAGTTTTAGTCAGCTTGATGGGATCTTCGCCGCGGCCGCTGTATTTGCAAGCATCGGGTCGCATCGATATTCGTCACGTCCTCCGCTCGCGGGTTTTCGTCCGATTGAGGGGGATGTCAGACATACTGTTTTGTCAGGCTGCTGAGTAATTTAACGGCGTTCGCGCAAACATCTCACCGTGCCATACTGATCTGTGTGCTACGGCCGTGGCTTTCCGGGACCCAACTTCGCCCCGGACCCCACCCTGCCGCAGGGAGCTGCCTCTCGCCGCGGAGGCCCGCTGCGCGGATTCGACATCCTCATCATTTGCTTGGCGCCGGACGAGAATCAGCGTAAATCAAGCAAAGATCCACCCTCTGAGTCAAGTATACGCGGTTGACAAGAGGTGCTGGTTAGTGTGCAAAGTCGAAGGCCGTCTTGTGGGTGACCGGCCGTAGCAACCTGGAAGGACTGTTAGGCCTCGGTCAGGGCACAGGAAACGACTCATTTGCATCTCGACCGATCGAGCAAGCAACCAGAGCCTTGAAACGCCATGAATGATGAAATGTGCAGGACCATTGACCGTTCCGGTGGGTACCCAGATACGTTGGGCCCTACTCCACGGTGTCCGAAAGTCTGCCGCCACGACAAAGCACGGCGTAAAGAAGTCCTCTGGTCGTACATCGTCGTCAGAAGCAGCCTTTACTACCGACCATGATGCGATCAGTCGATCCTGGATCAGTCAAGCTGTCATTGATCATTGATGTGTCCGGCTTGCCGGGCCGCCCCCGCCACATGGCTTGCCTCTGACGTCCATGTCCCCTCTTGCTTCGGCTCTTCGCCCACTCGCACTGTACAAGCCCGTCCTTCTCTCTTACAAACCGCGCTTTCATCGCGCCATGTCATCTGCCACGTCACCAGCCGCCGCTGCCACGTGTCTCGCTTCCCACAAAAAGATCGTTGTCTGCACCGACCTCGGGCCCGCGTTGTCGCTACTCGCGGGCGTGGAAACGGTAGTATGGCCACATGCTGCGACACAGGAGTGCCCTCGCGAGTGGCTGCTGCAGAATGTCGTGGGGGCCAGCGGCCTGGTGGTGTGTTTCAAGGACATGGTTCGTATTCGTGCTCTCCTCGAAGCTGCTGAGTATGTAGCAAATGTAGGTCGACAAGGAGGTCGTGGATGCTGCTGGTCCTGAGTTGGAAGCAGTGACGACAATTTCAGTGGGATATGGTGCGTTTTTCTGTCCCCTTAGGCCAATGTTGATAACTTGAAGAACACATCGATTTACCGCTTCTGGCGGCGCGTAACATTCAGCTGGGATACACGCCAGATGTTCTCACCGATGCAGGTGCGTCCTTCGTCTCACACAAAATTCTGTCTTTTGCCCTCTCAGTGGCCGATTCCACGGTGATGCTGGCACTCATGGCCTCTCGGCGCACAAATCTTACCTCTGCACTGGTTACAACCAACCAGGTTTAGCTTTCTCGATCCACCTTCTTCAAGTTCTCACCCTATCGTAGTGGCCCTCCTTCCAGTGGACGCCCTTCGCATTCACCTCCCCCCAGCTGAGTCGAGTTCCCTTCGGCCACAGTCCCACAGTCGGCTTTCTCGGGTTCGGCCGCATCGCCCAGGCTGTCCTGCGCCGCCTCTCTCTTGGGTTTGGCGTCGCCGATGCCATCTACGCCTCGCGACCCGGCTCTCCCCCGCGCGAAGCCCGGGATAGTGCCATCCTTCAATCTCTCGCTCCAAACCTGGTCCGACTGCGGCCGGTCCCGCTCCCGGAGCTCGCCCGTGACTCCGACTTTCTGTTCATCCTTGCGCCTGGCGGGCCAGAGACGCATCACATCGTCGACACCGCTTTCTTCGCGCGCATGAAGAGAACGGCGGTGCTCGTCAACAACGGCCGCGGGAGCGTGGTGTCGTCACACGCGTTGGCAGCGGCGCTGAGGGAGGACAGACTGTGGGGGGCGGGGCTGGACGTGGTGGATGAGGAGCCCCATGTCGGGCCGGATCATCCGCTGCTGCTGCCCGGTGTACGGGAGAAGTGTGTGGTTGTCCCGCATTTGGGCAGCGCAACGGTGGAGACGCGCGCGGAGATGGCAAGGATGACGGCACGAAACGTGTTGCTGGGGGTCGAAGGGCAACGGATGGAAACAGCGGTGGATTTGAGCGGGTTTAGGTTGTTAGAGGCGAAATAATCATGATAAATCGGGCAACATTTTACTTGGTGTTTTATTTCTCTTTTATTTCTGCTTACTGTTGCTAGTAGTTGACTGTTTTCAGTAGATCCCACCTATCCCTCACCCTTATCCCCTCTAATTAGAGGCGGAGACTAGAGTACCCTTAGGGCTCCAACCTTTTTGTTTCTGTTTGTTGGAGGATACAAATCAAACAGAAAGGGTTCAACAAATGTTTTAAACGTTTATAATAGTTTTAAAACAGTTTAAAAATCCCTCATATATTTTATCTTCCTTATATGTAGAAAATAATGGAAAGATGACATAATTATCATGTTATTATAGGTGCAGGATGATAAATTATTCCAGGAAAGTATTTCCAACCTGAATCTACTTGGAAATTCCCTATTATAGACAGCAATCAGTACTCATATGCCAACTACATGTCACATTGGGGTTTTACGCAAGTCTATCTTAACGAGACTTTGCGAGAAACCTGCCTGGCACTTCGGGGTGGGACCATGCACTGAGTCCACATAAGCCCTTCTGATATCAAAGAGCTCAAGGCAAAGATGCAAATGTTACGTGCCAATGGTCAACTCCGCTTCCGCGCACACCTCTCTGACGCTGACAAACCTCGAGGCCCGCGAAAGGGGAAATCTGCAAAGTCGGCCGAATTTGTGGAGGATACTGAGGATGAATTCAGTGAGGATGATGAAAACGATGATGCAAACAAAGGTGGCCTGCTGAGCCTGTCTCTGAGGACATAGAAGAGCAGGGGCAAGGCCTCGAACGCAACAGCGTGGGCACCGAGCAGCCCATCTTAGCAGCACCTGCGTCGACAACTACCCTGGACGGCACTACTGTACTTGGGCCCACCCTCAGGCTGGAAGCAGAGCCCACTGCCACCACCCTTGTTCAAGCCCAGCCTCCATCCACTCCCAGCGCCGTCTCTGTTGAGAACGACCTGACTGCCATCTCAACAAACAACCTTGACAGTGCTATTAGTCTCAGCACAACGCCTCCATCTAGTCCCAGTGCCGTCTTTGTTGAGAATGACCCGACTGCTATCTCAACGAACAACCTTGACAGTGCTATTGCTCTCAGCACAACAGCAACAACTCCAACCTCCAGTCCATGATGACTGTATGCTCTGTCAGTGGGGATAAGGAAATGGAGGTGGATGCTTTACAAGGCGAAAAACAAAAGGCGGACGCAAACGGAGAGATGCAGGGGCCATCCAAGAAACAGAAGACTGCAAATGCAAAGGCCCTCAGTGACACTGATGCCCTGCCTGCTCACCGCCTTCCTGTTTGTGAAGCCAAGCAAAACGCAGTCAATGTCATCTCCAAGAATGCCTCTATGTTGTGCCGCACAAGTAGGATGGGGGATATATTGGGTTGACAAGAGGTGGGGCTATCCCTGATGTGTTAACAACAAGTATTGTGTCTGTTGGTAGAAGATGATGTGCTGGTGAATTATACTCAATCAATGATTATAGTACTGCTTTTTTTGTTTGCTTTTGCTTGCTGGCCTGGATAGGGAAGGGATGGGTGAATGAAAAGTATTGTTGAGTTAACAAAAAAGTATTAATCAGTCAGGGACTTATGATTGAGATACCTATCCCTCACCCTTATCCCCTCTAATTAGAGGCGGAGACTAGGGTACTTCAGATATGTGTAGCTGAAAGTAGTGTTTATTTATTTAGTTAGAGTTTATTTAGTTTGTCTTACAATCATTTATCTGGTGAAAGATACAATATTAATAGGTACCTGGCTCTAGAGTTGATAGTTTTAAGCATGTATTTCTTGCGATGTAGCAGTTTTTATTTGAGTTTGGGGACAGGGTCGGGGATTGGCGGGCATCGGGCAGGGCAGATTGGTGGCAGGGGTCATGTGATTGATAGCAGGTGATCACAGAAGACAGACCGTGGGTGGGCAGGACATTCATGGCCCTGGCCATGTGGGCGGCAGCACGGTGTTGAATAGAGGACGGGAGGTCCTTGCTGGTAAGAAGGGAATGAATGGTGCATGTGGCAGAAGAGAAGATGATGACTAGTGTTTGTTTTGCGCGTGGGTTATCAATGTAAATTGAATATCTACTTGAATATTATATATTTTAAATATCCGACTTTTGTTCATGCTTAATTGAGTCATTTTGCAAATTTTTGATTTTTTTGGGGGTCGGGCGCTGCGTCAGGCGGATGGCAGGGTGATGGCCTGCCATCAATGACATCGGGGATGCAGTGGGGTTGATGAAAATGATGCTGGTATTGATGTATAATCAAAGTACAAAACATTTGGTCTGATTTGGTCATGAAATGACCTCATTGTCATCGTCGGCGTCGACGACGATGAGCGCGAGCCTTTGACAGCGGCGGGGAGGTGTAAGCGGCAGTGGCGCAGGGGTATTGCCGAGCCGACGACAGGAAGCGGTGATGTTCTTGATGTTCCTGATGAAAGGTGTCAGCAACTGTCACAGGGCGAGAATGGTCACAGCCGTGCTCACCGTTGGCGGCAGTGTAAGGGCAACCTCGCGAGGCTCGAAATCAGAGTCCTGAGCAGAGGGGGAATCCTTAGAGAACAAGCCAAGGAGCCCTCTGCCCAGGTGCACTACTATATACTAGTGACTGGAGTAATGATAGAGTGACTGCGTAGCGACGGATGACGGGTTGGAGAAGTCAGGTGTCGCTAATGGACCCAAGGTGAGTGTCGAGTAGCCCTCAAAGCTCCAGAGAGGCAGGTTTGGGACCGTGATGCCAAGGGAGGGGCCCAGGCATCCCTAAAAGGCCCAAGAAGGGCTTCGGGAGGTCCAGGCTGCCTCTGGGCGTCTCCGCTTGTGACCGTGACGTGACAACCGGAATCGGAATCGGAATCGGAATCGACTCCGGGTGTGTGACCGTGACGTGACGGCCGGAAACGGAGAGGGAAGGCGTGGAGCGGAAAGGGAAGGAGTCTGGTCTAGCCCAAGGGCCGGGGAGTGTCGAAGAGGACCAATAGGAATGACGGCCAGCCATGACCACTGGAGGGTAGCGACAGGGGGTCACTCGGAGACGTCCCCGGATGTCTCCAGAGAGGTGGAGGTGTGAGGGCGTGCAGGGTGCTGCAGTGGGCACAAGCCTTAACGGCAGTAGGCCTCACCCAGGGGAAGACCCGATGACGGGGCTGTGGTGGCGGAGTGGAGAGCGGAGCCATGGCAAAGCTCAGCCATCCGAACGGAAGCCCGAACGCTGACATAGGTTGGGGACACCCAAGAGGTCTAGCAGATAGAGATCGTAGGGAGACCTTGATAAGTGACAGCCCAGAGAGGCTAGAAGGCCATAGGCTCAAGGTCTCAGAGGGAAGTGGTGCGTCCACATCCGGAGAGGTCTCCAATGGCATTAGTGCTGGATGTGGGATGTGGTGCAGGCAGTGGAGGGAGAGCGTCAGGGTGCGGAGACGCGGAGACGCGAGCGGAGACGCGGCGCTTGATGGGATCAAGTGACGGCATCAGGGTTTCCCCTGACAGGCAGTGGGGACAGGTCTAGACGGCAATGAGAGGGCGGGAGGGTGCCCGGGTGATAATGCCAGCTCCCGACCACGTCACACTGGCTTCCACCACCATGAAGCCCGCTGTCAGTAGGTGGAAGTAGTGTGGGTGCCTGCCAAGAGCTCAACCCCCTCTACTTAGAGGTGGAGGGTACTCTAGTCTCCACCTCTAATTGGAGGGGATAAGGGTGAGGGATAGATGCACCTCAGGCTACCTATAACCCTACCCTAGGAGGCTTCAGATTCCCGGTGGAACCCAGTACCTAAGAGGGTGTCAGACCATGGTCTGATACCATGGTGCTTGGGTCCATCCACAATCATGGATGGATCCATGGGTGTCACGCACATTTTAGCCCTGGGTCTATCCAACCCCCTTGGATGCATCCAGGGGGGGTGTGGATGGACCCAGGGCTATTTTCCTAATTGGGCTGGCGGGTGAATGGCTTGTAGCTCGACGCCAAAGCACCCAAAAAATATGATGCTTGGACCAGTCGGTAGGTGTTCTCTTACTGTCTTTGATCTGATCACCTAGTGACGGGGAAGTGCTCTGTTCAAGTCCAGTTGTTGTTTTCTTTTTTTTTTTGTCAAAATGGCTTTCTTTGGCCTCTGATTACCCTTCTAGCACCTCCTTCTTGCACCCAAAAAATCGCCAGGGCATTCCCTCCAAGATGGTGTCACTGCCTAGGCAATTGGTGGCCAGATCATGGACCTTTGAATATTTTTTGATTTTTTGAGCTTTGCACTGTATGATACTCCAAGCACTCTATACAGACAGTAGGTACTGTACAGGTAGTCTATCATACATGCCAAGTTGACCTCCATGTAGCCCCACCCTAGGGCCCTGGCCTGGCGTTGCGCGCTGGGGCGGTTGATCGGCCATCAATGATGCCATCAAGCCGATCGGCATGTTCGACTTGGGCTCAGTATGGATGGACCCATGGTGCCTGGGAGACAGGACCATGGATGCATCCATGGGTAGGTTCAATACCATCTATGGATGCATCCATGGACAGGTCTGAACCAACCATGGGTCCATCCATGCGCGCGTGGATGCATCGTGATCACCACTGACTAACATTATTCCAGAGTCATATAGCGACTACCTAACTGCTATGCGCGCAGCCTACTATGACACGCTGGAGAAGCTCATCCCCGACGAGCATGAACGCGGCGACCCAGAGACCCGTCGCCGCGTCATGCAGCCTTACATCAATAGCATGCTCTCCGTCACCGTTGCGAGCAGTGCAGCCGACCTTGATGATCCCAAAAACACCACTTACAACCTGCTCACCAAGGCCGTTGCTCCCATGGCCACCCAATGCTCCACCATGGCCACCACGTGCAACTATCATACTGTTGGCGTTTGCACTGCTGTTGAGCACGTCGACAACAGCAAGAACTCGGTTACCTTTGGCGGTGGCCAGCTTTACCTTGAAGCGTACCGACGATATGGCGACGAGCTGAAGCGCCTCACAACGAAGATTAGCGAGATCCTCATGTACGTGATTTTACCCGCAACTGCTCATCGTTCTGACTGCCACACCAGCCGCACTCACGAAGAGCGACAACTCGAGGACTCGGCGCCAGGAGCAGCGCCGAAGCGAAATCCCCACAAAGTCGTCCTTACCCGCCTCCTTGGCGAGACCAGACGTGATTCCGAGAGGCGTATCATTGTTGGATGCTCCCTCAACCTCCTCAGTACGTGCTTCCATTTCATTGGACCTTGTGGTCGCTAACTTGAATTCAGAACTTGTCTTATTGGCACTCGGGATCGATCCTGAGGTCGTCCGCAAACGATGTCCATTTCCAGCGCATGAATTGGAAGCATTTTGAAGACCTTGCCTACGCCCAGTTTCTGCGCTGGTGCAACTGGCCGCTGGCCTTAATCGATTTTACACCGGGCACGGGCCGCACGATCAACGACATCAAGAACACCCCCGAACAGGCGGCAGCCACCAAAGCCCTGCGCGACATGGCGGAGTCCATGATAAACTGGTATCTGGAGTACGAGGGCAAGGAACCCATCCCCAAGACGTGCCCAGCAGCAAATGCTCCGTATATGGAGGCTTGGACTGAAGAGGAGAGGAAACTCGCTGATCCCAGCAACGTTCCTATCCTTATTGCAGCAGACGGTCGCGTTCTGCTCACAGCCTCGCATTCCAAAATGTGCGTGACACCCATGGATCCATCCATGATTGTGGATGGACCCAAGCACCATGGTATCAGACCATGGTCTGACACCCTCTTAGGTACTGGGTTCCACCGGGAATCTGAAGCCTCCTAGGGTAGGGTTATAGGTAGCCTGAGGTGATAGATGGTAGATCCACAAGGCCGAACTTGTGCTCTCTGCATTGTAAGAACTGCCCTTCAAGTTCATGTCGGCACCACTGTCCAAAACAGTGAGCCATAGTGGTAATATCTAGGCTAAATCTGCTAGCAGTCTGCTAAGGAGGCTGTTGCCTAAATGCCTAGCTTTTGCTAGCCAGCCTTTAGCTAGCTTGTCGCAGGCTTTATTTGACCCAGCTGTGACTCAATGTGACTACCGTGACCTATTGTGACACATGTGACATTTTTTTAAAAAACATTATTATGCTCTATCTAATAGTATATCAATGATGGGAATAGCCTATTCTGAGTATTGTTTTGATTGTGGAACGATTTTTGATGGCCATTAGTATTTTTGATGGCTATATCCTGCTACATCATATCTGTCCCAATTAGGACAGGAATTGATACAGGCTTTCCTCACTATATACCGGGTCTTCGGCCTGAAGAAAAGGAGTTAAACTTCTTTATATAGTAATATATTAGTCATATCAATCAATTTGAGGTATCAAAACTAATCTCTCATGACATTGTAAGCAAATTTTAGCCTAATTCTGCTAGCAGCTGCTAGTCTAGCAAAACCTAGCTATTTAGGCAATGGCCCTCTGAGCAACTGCTAAGGCAGGAGGCTAAATTTTACAGCTACGGGTGCAGATATGTTGGTGCCGCCAAGATGCAAGGCAGGCACAACTGCGCAACTGCCCTTTCGAGGATCCTATGTGATGCATTAAGTCTATTTCCATGTCCTCACTCTGATGTCGCGGAGGCTATCGGCTATGGAGTGAATGCAGTGCAGGAAAAAAACCCCGAGGTTGCCGATCAGCTGAGACAACCCAGCAGTATGTTCTCCTCCGCCCTCCGCCTGCACTTATTGCTCTTTCCCTTGTTGCCGCCGGCACTGCAAAGCCGGCACTTTCGTTAGCTCTTACAGGTCTGCTACTTCCGCTGTAAGTATTTACGTCACACTAATCACCTCTGCAGGCCCGAAGGAGGCAAATGGCATAAGTGCCCTGCAGGTAACCGCCACACTCGTCAATACGGGTGACATCGCACTCCATCTGTTAATCCCAATTATCTCTTCTAATTAGAATGGACCACCCATGCGGGTGACCATTCTAATTAGAAGAGATGATATAAAAAGCCCTATGCTGCAATAAAGGGGCCTATAAAACTGCAATATCTCTGGGACCCCAGGCTCTAAGTCATTTTGTGTGTTATCGCACAAGGTCAGTGTGACATTTTGTGACTGGTAGATACTAAGGTATGGTAACTTAACAATAAGGCTAGAGAGAGACTCAGAGAAACATTCCATCATACTTTACTGTGTACACAGATCATGTTTATATGCTGAGCATGCTAAAACTAACAGAAAATGAAAATATAAAATAAAAATTACAATAAATAAATATAAGACATAAAATCAAGATAAATTTCATATGGAATATCCGCAATATGGAATAGGGGTAGGGTTTCCACCAATATTATTCCATATGAGGAACTTAATTGGTGGGATTAAAGATGGCTGGAAGATGTCATACATTTATTTATGGTCATAATTTTGGTGCTTGAACTGCTTCTTCACCTAAATTTGGATGGAATAATTGCACAATCAGGCCATTCCATATTCCAGAACACAAATTGTGGAATATTTACTTCTCCCAAGGCTGTGGAAGGCCAAAACTCATTCCATATTGAGGATATTCCACATGGGGTGATTCCATATGAGGAAACTCGACTGTATATCTATAATTGGACAACACTACTTATTACTTACAGTCAAGCTACCAGAAGATCGTCATGCTCAGCGAAGTACTCGTAACTGTCTGCGTTCACGGTGCTATATATATACAAATCAGTCAGGGTAGCTCCAAGCAGGAAAGAATGACGCACGCCTCGGCCGGGTTATCGATCGCTAACTTCAAAGAGGCCGTCTTGCCAGAGGCCAAGTCCCGGGTGGCAGCGGTCGTCGCGAAGTGCGATGCAGCCTGGATGAGTGTTCCGGCCTTCGAATCTAAGCCAGTCAGGGGTGCGTCCCAAAACAGCCCGCAGACGCTGAGCGTGTCCAGGTCGGTGGCGTGGACGAAGGCAAAGACGTCGGCGCCATAGCTGTCGCACACACAGTCGTACTGAAAATGGATCAGGTTCAACAACATTGACGTGGAACAGCGGGGAGGACTCACTGTGTAGGCCGACAATGGGCGAGCGCCCAGTTGTATGAAATTGGTCAAGACTTTTTTGTGGTTGAGCTGTGTGAAGTTGCCAAACCAGGACGCGAAGCGGGACGGCGCGGCGCTGGTGGTGTGGTTAAAGACACGATAGAGGTATTCTCGTGTGCCATTGAGGTAATTTTCGGCGGCGGCGGCGGCAGAGGCTATCTGCTCCTGCTGGGAGGCAGAGCAGTTATTGAATGGCGGGTGCTGGTCACCGGAGGGGCGCGAAACTGCAAGCATGCCCTCAAGTTTAACGCCGGATGTGTAGGCAGTGGTGGCCTGGATGGTCGACAACTTGCCATCGTCCAGGTATTGGAAGGCGTTAGCGGCGACAATGTCATAGTTGTCAATGCCTGCCGAGGTGAAATTGTACGCCTTGGAGACTAGGGAGATAAATTAGACGACGGAAGTCAGCGGAAATTCTGCGACGCACGATCGTGCTTGATCTCAATGCGAGCCCCAGGAGCCAACGCTGTGAACGAGCTGTTCTTCTTCTCCGCGAGGATCGTCTCGGGCGAGTATTTCACGAACGCGCCTTGGAACACGGGAGATTTTCCAGCCGCATTAGTGATAGAGAATGTGTCCGTCTCGAAGGAGTTCAAAACCGTGCGCGGGTCGTTCAGCAGCTTGAGCTCAACGTCGCCGGTGTTGATCAGCGTGGCCGTGATAATTAACTCGCCGACGCCCTTCGCCTGCTTGGGCCCTGGATACTATAAACGCAAGAATAAAAGCCGCGTTGAGCTGACCGTTGAGAGCTAGCGAAAGACCCGGTTTTGCTGACACGAGGATAGCGAAAGTTGAAAGGGCAACGAACGTGGTCGAAATGGTGGCAAGCATGGAGTCCGACTCGAAGTAATGGAAAGGTACCTGACGAAAAAAAGCTCTCGCCTTTATAGCAATGCGTCGCCGATCCGACGTCTTTTTGCTTGTGGGAAGAAGGACGAAGCGTACTGGCAATCCCTGATTGAGTTGGAGCTGATAGCGTTTCGTTCCAGTGTGTCCGAGTCCTTCCTTACAATTCAGTATACTATGACTCGGAGGTTCACCCAGGTACAACTTGAACCTAGGCAGTGTAAACAGCGGTCTTCACTGGCAGCATAAGATGCATAACAGCGGTCCGGAGAGAACTCACAGAACACCAGATTCGCCGTCGGAGGGCTTTCCGTTAACACTCCGAAATCCTGGATTGGGCTCCACATGCCGTTTTCCTTCACGCGGTCTGCGTTTCAAAGATGTGCTGTTAGCATGGTTCCTGGCCTTGGGCTAGTTCTTCTGTATGGTGACTCTTTTTGGCTTTTCAGACGTGGGGAAGGTTGCAGAAAGTGGTGGTTGGATGCAAACGTTGGCAAGGGACACGCGTCTTCGCCGATGGATGGCATGGGAAAGTGATGGTGGTAAGCACCTGTAAGCACTACCCGTTGCCATGTCCACTGATCCGCACCTCATGGCGCTTACCGTGACTCCATGACACGACACTTTTCCTTTGCTTTTCCTGTATTGCCTTCACCATGCCCGCAAGAGCCCGTCCAATATCGGCCTTGCACGCGTACGGTCACTTTACCACGGCGACCGCCTGCCACACTTGCCATTCCATGGCCGGTTGTTTGTATTGTTAGAACTGTCGCCAGTCCTAGGCACGGCGACTCGCGAGTTCCCAATTATCTCAGAGCCAATTAGCTAAAAGTCCGTGTAGGCATTATAAACATCAACGCACGTCGCAACCTAAGTCTTCGTCCTTGGGTCTTACTTATTTGCGCTAGCCAGCTATGAAGTTTCGACATTCTCTTGTTTCTGGCCTGTTTCTTCTGCTCAAAGCGGCTCGAGTGTTGGCTAGTCCAGCACCGGTTGCACATTCGGAGATCATGACGCGAAGCATTTCCACTGTACTGTACGACGACCTGGTGCGGTACACCAAGTATGCTTCCGCCGCCTACCAACTGGCCTGCCCAAGTCCTTTGGGAAACCACCTTGTACAATCGGTATGTTTGTTCGTTCTTTCATTCTTTGTCTCACATAGAGCTAGTTCTCACAAGGCAGTACGCAAGGCTTCGTTGCAAGAGACGACAACCGCCGTGAAATTGTCGTGTCATTCCGCGGGACATCGAGTCTGGCTGACGCAATCACTGGTACCGTACCCTCGCTTGCGTGTGAAGTGCCACTGAAGGTGATCATCTTATATAGATCTCAACCTTGTTTTGACGCCCTTGGCCACACCCGGGATAAACAAACCTTTCTCCGTCCATTCTGGCTTTCTCAATGCATACAACGATGTCGCACGCATAGTCATCAACAGCGTCGGTACACAGGCATCGCAATTTAGCCAGGGTTACTCTTTGATCGTCACCGGTGCGTTATTGCCAGTGCTCGTAGCCAAACACTGATGCCGGAGGCTCATGCCATCTTCCAGGACACTCCTTAGGCGGGGCGCTTGCCGCTCTTGGCGCGGTCTCCCTGAAGACCGCCTTCCCGAAAGTACCGATGAAGCTATACACTTTCGGTATTCTATCTCTTCTCTCACCCGAATGTTGAATGACATCGGTTGTGTAGGACAACCACGGACAGGCGACGCTCAATGGGCGAAGTATATCGAATCGCTCGTGGGCGTCGACAATATATTTCGGGGTGCGCTCCGTTAACATTGATATGTTTTCCGTGCCACGACTGATTCCGACCGCACCCAGCTGTGCATACCTTTGGTAACGAGATTCATCTTCAATTACTTGCGTTTAATAATTGCCTAAACAAGACGGAGTCCCTACGATCGTTGCCCCGGGGTTTCAACACCAGTATGCGTTCCTCTGTATCTTTCAACGTGAGGTTGACCAGAGAACAGCGCTACTCAATATTGGCAGTCACACGACCCCATCCCACTCCTCGAATCAGCGGAATCGACCGTGACGCGCTGTATCGGGGAAGAGGACCCGGCATGCAGCAACATCATACGTATGTCTCATCGTCAGGCTCAGGCAGCGCTACCCACTGAACTGTTATCGACCCAGCCTCGACAGGAATCAATCCCGCTCATGTGTTTTATTTCGGACAAGGTGCGTATATGCCCACAATCTGCAATTTGGTCAGCATATGACAAATTTGTAGTCATGGCCGTAAACCCGCTGCTTTGCGTCTAACTAGGCATTCGTATACTGAGTCGCACTGAATGGATCTCAAAAACATGGCGTAGATAGAATTCCGATGCAATTACACATTTCCTGACACAGTTCCTTGAAGAAACGAAACGAATCACCGTCCAACTATTACCAAAACTCTTCTACGCCTGCAAGACCGATTCCACCCCAGGACCTTGACGAACTTCGGGCTTCAAGGCAGCGGACCGTGGCCACGTCATCTTTCTTTCAATCGGGCGCCTTATGCTGCCGCTTTTCTTAACCTTGACTTCTTGCTTCGCCTCATGCCCCATGCACTCCTCCAGGCTCGACGTATCTTCTTCCTCCGATTGCTTCAGATCGACCGAGATCGGAGCTGCCGACAACACGAAACACGAATGGCGCAGTTGGCAAAGCGAAAGAGGATGCATCAGACATGCGTCTAGGTTTGAGGATCGAGCTAATTGACATCCTGCGAACAGCGCGGAAAAGAATATGCTCGTGGGGTTCAGCCTCTGCAACTGTCACATTGGTTTGAGGAGAGTCGATGGGGATGGAGAGAGGTATCTCGGTCAGAGCGTCAACGAAAACATCGTCGTCGCTGCTGTCGCTGGTACTATCGTCTTCGCTATCTTGAATGGCGATAAGATCTTCCTCATCCAAGTCTGATTCAGTCTCTGCTTTGACGATGCCCTCTTCCCCTCTCAACGACACCCGTTTGTTGTAAAGGTCCATCGCTAGAACCTGTGAGCGGATATACTCGATAGAGGGGCGAATTGCTGGGTCGGGACAGAGTGCCCTAATCATGAGACTCGTCAGCGAAAGCGAGATGCGAAGCTGAGTGGCGAGGGAGTTGTGCTTGAGTGCGGCAGGTGTGTCTCGAGGTTGGTCAAAACAGAGGTTACGGTGATTTGGATGACGCAAGTTGAGGGGTTCCGACATGAAGGAGCGATCGAGGAACTCGTTATAGCGTTCGTCTGCACCCGCTTTCGCACTAGACCAAGGATTTGCGTTGTTGATCATATTGAGGAGTGTGATGCAGAGAGCCCACTTGTCGCTATCGGCAGTGGAGTAGAAGTCGCGATGAGGGCCCGGAAAGGATTCTGGAAATTGGTAAACAAGGTGTGGCGATTAAGTAAAAAATGGCGCACCAGGGGTCATATATGCGGGCGAGCCAAAATCCAGTTCCGTCGCAACCTTGCTCGTCGTCGCCAGTCCAAAGTCCGCCAGCTTGACCTGGCCACGAGCGAGATCGAAGAGGATGTTTTCGGGTTTGATATCGCGGTGAAAGACGCCATGGCGGTGACAGAAAAGGACGCCGTCGACGATGGAAGAGAAGACACCTTTGATGACCTTGGGTTGGTAGCGTAGGGTACCTTCTACAATCGCAGCGTGAAGGTCCTTCGGGGCGAGGTCGAGAACCATGAAGAGGATGTCTTGCGAGACGAAACTGCGGTGGAGGGTGACAACGTTGGGGTGGCGAGAAACTCGGGCGAGCAATTCACGTTCGCGAGACTCGAATTTGCCGGATTTGAGTGGTAGACGGGGGGGATTCCGGATACACTTGATGGCGTATGTTGTTTGCTGGAAGGAGGCAAGGTCTCGAGCGGTGTAGAGTTTGCCATAGGCGCCAGCGCCGAGAGGCTTGAGGAGCTCGAATCGTCCGTTGTCGACTACCGCGCCGGCGAGGTCCGGAAGGGTGTCGGATTGAGACATGGGAGGTAGAGGATGGATGTAGCTGAGCGAGTTAGGATAGGTCGTGTATGTGTATGTGGTGGAACGAAAGAAAGAAAGATACTAGTGACACGTCACTGGCGCGTCACACTTTTTTATAAGTCTACTAGTCACTTATGAGTACCCTCTTCCTGCTGCGCCGCGGGAAGGACAAGTGAGTGGCTCTAGCTGGAGCCGTGATGGTCTATTCTTCGACAAAGTGGGGACGCGGCGGCCCCGGCCCCCGGGCCAGACGCCTTCTTTCAAACTTACTCATGCCACTTTAAAAAAACCAAACAAGCCCATGTTACTACTAAACCTCTCAGTTCAATGGCCTGCAGCATCTAACCGATACATCGACACCTGCTCAATACCGCAGCACTCCGTCTCTACTTGCAGCCGGGCCAGCCGGACGCTATTAAACCGCGGGTCCTCCACCACACGCTTCTCCGACTCCGCGCTCCGAGTCCAACCATTTTCTTTCCATTCCGCTGATATCTGCCTCGCAACGTTTTTCACTGTGTCCCAGACCAAGCCAGAGGCGGCCCATAGTGGGACCACAATGATCCGCTCGCCATGGAAGTGCAGCGCGTCGACGATATGCAGTGCCATCCTTCCCTCGCTAGCCTGAGCTCGTCGGACGACATCGCGCCATTCACGCTGCGCGTCGAGGTGTTTTTCGCAGCGCGCAACAGTTTCCGCAGTCTCTTCAATACTCCTGACTTCGATCCGCGCGGGCCCAAAGGCGTGATTAAAAACAGTAACGGGGAGTATAGTATAGTCTGGATCGCCCCCCGACTCCCGTACTTTCGCGTATCTCGAAGCGAGGAAAACCACCTGTTTTGCAAGGATGGAGTCAAAGTTGCGGTAGTATTCGTCGTCCAGCAGATGGCGGATGTATTTGCGATCGAAGTAGACGAGGAATCGATCTGTACGATCCGCTTCATGATTTTCAGTTTATAGACCTGGAAACGGCGATGAAGAGCGCACACAGGGTCAGGAATGCGTATGCAGAGCAGACTTCGCGGTGCCCCCGTTTCCAATCGGCCTTTTGGCAAGATTTTGAGCAATACAAGACGCCCTCACAAGCACATTTCTTGAGTTCTCGGCGGAGTGTCATACGCTGGCACTGGAAAAGGGTCAGCAAATAATTCACAGAACAGTTTGAACAACCCACTGCTGAGTTATCGCATGTCTTATGTCTCGCGCAGATGCCCCACAGTCGCGCGTAGGTGAGATCCAACGGGCGTTTCCGCTCCTCAACAGCGTGGAGGAGCGCGAGCCAGTGCGGGTAGGTTTCCGATTTAACGAATGCGGGGTGTCGAGAGTCCTTTTGGATTTCAGGAAGCTTTAGCACGGTGGAGAGCATGCTGGCGTTGTATCGGTATAGACAACTGAGGTCCAAGCTTTCGACAAGAACCCTGCGGAGACTGGGGGTAACGAGATCCTTCCCTGGGTAATTGTTACGAGCTGAGTGAATAACGGCAACAAGGACACCCGCGCGAATGACATGCATGGGGTACACATCGCCCTGTCGACACAGGATAATGCGCTCAATGACCATCCAGCATTCCTCCAAGGTGCGCCCAGTATCGGCTGCGGCGGTGGAGGAGAGCGATGAGATACAGCGAAGAAGAGTGGGAAGAAAGTCGGTGTTGTCCAGCAAGGCATCGATAAGATCACCGAGTGGGAGGAGGAACCAATCCGTTTCGAATAACTTGCCGACGCCCTTGAGGGTGCTGAAGTCACCATGTAGAATAAGTCCGACTATCGTGCGTATGAGATGAACGAATGCACCGTCCTCGAGGTCGGAGAGTTTGGCGTCGTCCAGCAGTCTCTGCAGATGAATCACGATGAGGGAGGCCATATCCTCCATGGATCCAGCGCCAGCGACCAATTCCTCCATATTCGCCTTCTGAGAGGGGACAAGGGGCATAATGAAGTTGGTGAAATCGATTAGCACCATTCGAAGGCGCTGTGGGACGTCTTCCGTCGGGACATGCTCTTTCCAAATATTGACCAGAATAGAGCGAAGTCCAGGCGACTGGAGCAGAAACTTGTGGGGATTGCCGCCCGCATTCGCGCTCAGGCGCCCCAGCGTGATGACGAAGTTGCGGAAAAGCACGGGCTTTTCGGGGAAGCCAAGTATGCCGTGCAGCTGCCCCCACCAACGGTAGACGAACGCGAACCACGGCCACAAACGCGGCCACAGGTCGGGCCCCACAGGGAAAATGGGTGCAGCGATCCTGAAGAAGACGTTCATTGCAATAGTGGCGGTGGAAATCGTAGTCAGGGTCGTGTTATCGATCGCATCGGGGAAGTCGTCGCCAGCGAAAACCGGGACAAGCTTTGGATCGAGGAGATGGTACACGAGAGGGAAGTATCCAGCTTGTTGCGTTACCGTCAGCGTCGGATGCGGTGGGTCGAAGGCGCGCAGGACAAGCGTCGCTTTTGTCGAGGACCCGTTGACTCGACAAGCAGCTTGAGCGTCGAGCTAAAAGGTATCACGATTTGGGCGTAGATAAGGAGAATGCTGACTCTTAGCTTGAGCGGAAGCGCCTGTAAGCTGGACACACGCAGCGCTGGATGCACGCTCGTCATTGCGGTGGTCTTCGCTGGCCTTCGTGTGAGCTTTGATTGCCGACAAGTGACGACGCCTTGTCGGAGCCGACAAGCCGCGAGATGACTAATCTATTGCATGACTAATCTACGGCTTCTTCCTTCTGACGTTGATGCGCACGCATCTTACCACTGCTAATACTGCTAGCCGCTGGACATTCAACGCGAAGATAACATAACACGCTCGGCTCGCCAGCGGCTTTCTCGGGTTTCGCATTCAACACACAATCACAATCTCCACCGGGATATGGACATTGTGGGACCAAGATATGAGCAACAGGAGGGTCTGGAAGCGCTCTGAAGCGATCTCTTTGGACCTAGATTCCCGACCAAACGAACGGTCACCGGGCCGCGGGCCGTTGACAAGCTTAAGTCCAGGAAACTCTACGGCGATGCTTCAGTAGACGACTTGCACAGTTGCACTGGCGTCGACTATCTCCATCCAACCTTCATTGCTCAGCTTCCCAAGCTACTGGTCGGGCTATTGATAACCGCAAACATTGTGGTTGTCTCTCAGTTTAATCGTCAAAAAGGGCAGTACGTGGTTGCTATCATCTTGGCTCCAGTGCTCCACATTACCTAGGGCCTTGCCGCTATAAATGCGGTATGCATTGTCCTTCGGGGCAGTCTAATCGTACTTGTCTGCCCAGCATGCTGGCCGCTTTCGTCTCTACCGCCCTCACTGCAGCGGCTGCACTCTCCTTTGCTACGGCAGTTTCTGCGACGCCGGCGACGCTCGACAAACGCATTAACTTCCGGTCCTGCTCCGTGGCTCAGCAGGATCAGGTCGTCGCCGGGGTCGCTGAGGCCCAGCGCTACGCTGACGATGCGGTCCGTAACCTCCAGACCAAGCCAGACACAAGCCGCTTCCGGGCCTGGTTCGGCGACTTCGACACTGCGCGCCACGAGACTGTGCTAGAAAACTTTAGGAAAATAGCTAACAGCCGATTTGGGTCCTACACGGTGTGTCATCTTCCCCCTGCCTCCGTCGGCTAGCTTAGTGATCCTCAGTACGACTGCGCGTGCGACAGTCCCTACAGCTTCGGTCAAGTGCGCCCGGAAGAGTTCGGCGTCATCGGCATCTGCCCCCGCTTCTGGGATGCGCCGGCAACAGGGACAAACTCGAAGGGCGGCGTGCTGGTCCATCTTGCCTCTCAGTTTAAAAGCCTCGCCGCCACGGACATCCTCTTCCCCGGGAAAGACGCCGCTTTCAACATTGCGATGCGCGACCCTGCCAAGGCGTAGGTGTTCCCCGTCGAATAGGTACGATCTGACCACATTGTTATCAGCCTTGCCAACGCAGCCAACTATGAATACTTCGCTGAGAATGATGCGCCGACACGGGATTGAAGCCTTGAATGTTCGCTTTCACTCTGTGACTTGGAATTTTTTTTCACTTCAATCCAGGTAGAATCCCCATTTCAAATATTCTACAGTACAAACTGGAAGAGGCGAGTGGAAGGCGAAGAAAAATTACTCGAAGCTCGAGGAGTGTACTGGTATAGTGATCTGAGAAAGAAGCGCCTCAGGCGAGCGTTGGGGTATCGTTTTCGGCAAAGTACTCATAGTTGTCTGTGTTTACTAATGAGTCTGCATCGCACCCGTCAGTAGCTTAGCTGCTTTCATCAAAATCAGTTCGCGTGTGTGGAGGACGTACGCCAGGTTAGGGTCGCTGATGGCAAGCGCCTTGGACTCCTCCTTGCCGAATGTGACGTCGTGTGTGGCGGCGGTGAGGGTAAAGTATGGCGGTCCGTTTGAGCAAAAAAATAAATCGCGCGACATTGACTGTTTCACGAGCATTTTGACACAAAAAATTCAAATTTTAATTCTCTCAAGCCTTTTTGCAAATTTTGCAAGCCTTTTCAGTGAAGTGCAATTTGCTCAAATGTCTTTGTGTCTTTTGTGACTTATCACCCAAGATTTCATGTAGCAATCTGTCTCCTCTTGGACTGGAATTGCTGCTGTTGGGATGCAGAGCAGGATTTGAACCTGTCAGCCTAGGTGCGACCGTTTTTGGTGACAACCTTTTGGAAATTTTGGACCAAAAAATATTCTTTTGATTTAAGGTGAATTTTACAGGATTTCTTTGTTGCCAATGTAATATGTAACACAGACACTTGATTGAGATGCTACAGTATATCAAATTATAATATGAAACAATATATTATCTTCCATATACTCAACACTTATAGACTTAGCATCCAAACACTCCAGTATAGTAGGTGAATTCAATACTATGCAGCTATTTAGTATATATGGATGGTTAATGGTTGGAACCAACCTTGAGACTGAGTATATATATATGCGCTACAGCAGATCCGGAGATTTGACTGCAACGGCTGTGATGGTATGAAATCATATGTGTTACCTCCATAAGGCATTCCCATTTTTTTAAAAAAAAAGTTACAAAATTAGACTTATGCAGTATGTATTAGTGATTTCCTTTTTTCGAAGAGCAGACGGAAAAACAATAGTCACTATATTCTATAGGTTAGCTGTAACAGACTATGACAATTGAAGTTAATATTGGAGGCATTAGCTCAGTTAACCAGTTAATTTCCATATCAATTGAGGAGAGATCCTACAAGAAGTCTCAGACTGAACTTTGGTCAATATATAATGATCTGCAATTACTGGCCAAAGTAGACCACAGCAGCACAGGCGGCGCATGCGTGGTGGGCGGGGCGACCGGTCGGCCCGGGGTCGCGCCGGTTGAGTTCTGTGATCATTGTAAGCATTTTTTTGGGTCAAGTCTGAGGTCGCATAACTCGGAAAGAGATACTTACGATGAATTGAAGCATAGGCGCGGCACCGAGTCCAGGGTTCGAATATTCGGAATCGCGGTACGCAGTGCGGGCACCCGGTCGGACCGGGGCCGCGCCGTATAAGGTGACTGAAGTGCTTTTCCTTCGATTATTTTTCCGGGTCAGAGCTCGGGGAGGAATCGATAGCGAAGGCTCTATGATTAACATTTTGGGTAGGTAGGACAGGAGGTATAGGGGCTATTGAAACAGGTAGAAGCAGACGAATACAGCGAAGCGGCGGATATAGTGCTACAGATGATAGTGCGGGGTATAGTGCATTGTGTGTCGGTCAGCAGACAGAGACGGTGAGCGGAGGGCCTCACTGGGCGGCGGCGAGGTTCATCGCGCCGAGGACGACCTCCCACGCGACGTCGATCGCGGCCCAGAGCCCCGCGTCGCAGATGCCGAGCGCGACGACGTCCTGCCAGAGCTCCTTCACGTGCCCCGCGTGGCCCATCAGCGCGCCGAGGTTGCCCGCCGCGGCCGCGCACACGTGCGTCGCGAGCGCGTGCAGGGTCGGCCGGGCGGCGAGGGCCGCCTCGAGCGTGCGGAGGGCGGGCGCGGCGGGGTCGGCGAGGCGCGCGAGGAACGGGGAAGGGAGCGCGGCGGGGAGGAGGGAGGAGAGCACGGCGTCGAGGCGCGCGGCGTAGAGCCAGGCGTGGATGATCGCGAACGCGGGCGGGGACGGGAGCGCGAGCGGGAGGACGGGGAGCGCGGCGTGGGCGGCGGAGGCCGGGCCGGCCGGGCCGGCGGGGCGGGGCATGCGGGGGAGGGCGGTGCAGTGCGCGGCGAGCACGACGGCGTGCACCGGGTACAGCGTCGTCGGCGCGTCCGCGTCGTCCTTGACCTTGCCCGCGGGGGACACCGCGAGCGCGTGCGTCGGGAGCGCGACGCCGTGCGCCGCGGCGCGGAGCGGCACGGAGAGCACCGGGGGCAGCCGGGACCGCGGGAGGGACTGCGGGATGTGCGACGGGGCGAGCGCCGATATGCCCGCGAGCATCGCGGGGCCCTTCGCGCGGAGCCCGTGCCGGATGAACTCGTCCGGGACCCCCGCCGCGGCCAGGTCCGGCGCCGCGCCCGCCAGCGCGTCGCGCGCGATGTCCGCGAACGCCGGGCGCGCGAGCGTCCTTGGCAGCTGGATCGGGGCCGGGGCGGAAGAGGCCGGGCGGCGGTGCTGTGGCGGTGCGTCGTGGCGCAGGTGGTGGTGCGGGAACGTCTGCGGGTGGGCGGCGACCTGGAACATCGAGTGGGTATTGGTGTGTTAATGGGTGTGCTCGTTGCCTTGTCCAACGCGTCCTTATATTCCGCACCCACCTCCTTCCTATTCCGGCGCCCCCAAAGGCAGTCCCAAAACGGTCCACAAGGTCAGAGTACAAGGCCGCTGATGTCAGCGGGCCCGCGTCACATCAGAAGCCCGCAGAAGTGCATCACACGTGGTGATCCCGGCCCCCCACGTGGCGCCCGGCGACCCACGCTGTCCGGAACGCGCCCCGTCCCACGCCGCCCAGGCGCCCACCCACGCCGCCCACATGTCCCGCAGGCGACGGGCCCGGGCGGCGCTGGAACCCCGCGGGCCCGGGTCCACATCCGTCGACTCGCTGCAAAAAAGAAAATCCCCGCCTTACGATGACGCGCAGCGTGCGCCGAACACACCGCGGGCCAGCGCGGGCCCTCCACGTCTCCAGCGCGGGCCATGCTGCCCGCTCGAGACCTGTCGCTGCGGCTGCCTTCGCAGGCATCGCGCGACACCACATCCTGCTGCGGCCTGCCCGGCCCGCCGAGTCCGAGCCCGCGTCTTAGCGCGACCGCGACTCAGGACTCCTGCCAACCCCCAGCCAAGGGGGGTTCAAGATTCGAAACATGGATATAGGGTCGGAATTTCTTTTTCCAACCCTTTGGGGACCCCCCCCTCCCCCCTCCTGCCATATATAGTAGTATATTCCAAGTGGGATAAAAAAATCAATCTTTGTGAAACTTCCTTCCCCTACCCTATGTGCCTGATAAGGATCTTGAACCCCCCTTGCCCCCAGCCTGGCCCCGACGCGCCGGCCGAAAAAAAAGCAGGCCTCGCTATAATGCGCAGCGCAAACATACCGCCACGGCTCGCCAACATGCTCCCACGGGGCATATCTGTCGTGTCCTCTGGGTCTGTCCAATTCAAGTTGTGTTTGCCAGAATAGTTCAACGGGCCACAGGTCACACAGGTCACAGCCATTTTCTTTCATCCCAAAGCAGCCCAACTTGCACATATTCTAAAACTCCCTAATTGGGTACATAATATGTCCCAAGGGGGGTTCAAGCTCCTTGTCAGGCAGGCACATACTGTACTCGACTGTATCCATACAACCATCACGTGATCATAACACGGCGAAAGACCAACAACAAGGGGGTTCAAGATCCTTATCAGGCACATGGGGTAGGGGGGGGGGGGGGTCGCAGGAAGGTAAAAAAAAACTTTTTGTATATGAAAGATTTGGGCCTTATATGGGTGTAAAGACACTGAAAATATAGTGCATACACTCCAATTTCTATAGTTCACAATTCTCATACTTATATCTAGATACTTTCAGGCCCATAAGCTTGGATAGCCCACTCTGTCATAGGTCCATAGACAGGTAATTGATGAGAGGTGAACATGTTGAAGAGTTGATATGGCCTGCCATGTGTGTTTGAAGGTTCCAGGTACATACATACACATCTACACATACACAGATATAAAAAATTTTACAAAAAAGTTTATCCCACTTTTTGATTACATCAGTGGTCACATAACGCGAATCGTGGGAATACATTACGGGGGGTCCCCCAGGGTCAGAAATAAACTTTCCAGTCCTATATCCATGATTCGAGACTTGAACCCCCTTGACCGACAACCAGCCTTGCGTTATGTGTTACGTGGGCTGTGTAAGGGCAACCTCGCGAGGCTCGAAATCAGAGTCCTGAGCAGAGGGGGAATCCTTAGAGAACAAGCCAAGGAGCCCTCTGCCCAGGTGCACTACTATATACTAGTGACCGGAGTAATGATAGAGTGACTGCGTAGCGACGGATGACAGGTTAGAGAAGTCAGGTGTCGCTAATAGACCCTAGGTGAGTGTCGAGTAGCCCTCAAAGCTCCGGAGAGGCAGGTTTGGGACCGTGATGCCAAGGGAGGGGCCCAGGCATCCCTAGAAGGCCCAAGAAGGGCTTCGGGAGGTCCAGGCTGCCTCTGGGCGTCTCCGCTTGTGACCGTGACGTGACAACCGGAATCGGAATCGGAATCGGAATCGACTCCGGGTGTGTGACCGTGACGTGACGGGCCGGAAACGGAGAGGGAAGGCGTGGAGCGGAAAGGGAAGGAGTCTGGTCTAGCCCAAGGGCCGGGGAGTGTCGAAGAGGACCAATGGGAATGGCGGCCAGCCATGACCACTGGAGGGTAGCGACAGGGGGTCACTCGGAGACGTCCCCGGACGTCTCCAGAGAGGTGGAGGTGTGAGGGCGTGCAGCCTGGGGCGCTGCAGTAGGCACGAGCCTTAACGGCAGTAGGCCTCACCCAGGGGAAGACCCGATGACGGGGGCCGTGGTGGCGGAGTAGAGAGCGGAGCCATGGCAAAGCTCAGCCATCCGAACGTAAGCCCGAATGCTGACATAGGTTGGGGACACCCAAAAGGTCCAGTGGATAGAGATGGTAGGGAGACCTTGATAAGTAACAGCCCGGAGAGGCTAGAAGGCCATAAGCTCAAGGTCTCGGAGGGAAGTGGTGCATCCACATCCGGAGAGGTCTCCGATGGTGTTAGTGATCCATGATGGTGATTCCGGATGGACTTCCGGAGGGGAGTGGCCAGGGAAGTCGAAGACTCGGGATCACTGGATGTGGGATGTGGTGCAGGCAGTGCAGGGAGGGAGAGCGTCAGGGTGCGGAGACGCGGAGACGCGAGCGGAGACGCGGTGCTTGATGGGATCAAGTGACGGCATCAGGGGTTCCCCTGACAGGCTGGACAACACAACAATAAAGGCTAAAGTGTGCCTTGTTGACTGGATTTTGATAACATTGTGTAGCTTGACTGCCACAATATTCCTAGAAGAAGCCAAGTTAAAATGTCAATTTTAATAGAATTTTCCAAAAATAGAGCAGATTTGGCATGCATAACCACCTGGCCTTGGAGAACAAGCCCCACGTTATTGTAAGGGCAACCCCGGAGGCCTGAGATCAAGGTCCTAGCAGGGGAGGATCCAAAGCATGAACATTGGTAAGCGAATACAAACGAAGCTGACCTAGCAGGGAGGATCCAAAGAGCAGAAACTCTAAGGGTCTGCCTGCTAGGGAGCTGACTATATACTGCTTGTCCGTAGCTGCCGCTGTCGGGCACAGAAGGCTTGGGCGGCGTCGCAGGCGAGGTCCCAGGGCGACCGTCGGGAGGGCGTTGACGGATCGGTGATTGTGCGGGCGAGATGGAGGGCCAGACCAGAGTCGGAACCGGAATCGGACTGGAATCGGATGCGTCTCCGGGCCGAAAGGGAGGTTCCCCTGACAGTTATGCATTACGCAATGCATCACTTACAACCTAACGGACCCCGCGTTACGCATTACGTTGTAGTGATACACTCAAGTACAGTAGGGTGGGGGGAGGGTCCAGTGTTAAAGAGCTGAAAGTGGGTCTATAAATATATATATGTATTCATGCAAAGTTTGCCTAAAATGTCAATTTCTGCACCGCTTTTGATCCCGTCATTGGTTACCTAATTCAAGATCTTATCTTATCATGTGAATACATTGCCTGATATAGTAAGGGAGGAGGGGAGGGGCCGGAGGGTTGGAAAAAAAGAAGAAATCTGACCCTATCTCCGGGATTCGAATCTTGAACCCCCCTTGATATGCAGTGCAGCGTGCTGTAAACACATGACTTGCCAACCCCCTCCCATCATGGTACTTACGGCCGCCCTGTAAGGGCAACCCTGTACCTCGGATGCGCTCGGATGGTCCGAAGCAGGGGTTCCCTGACAGGCGGACTATTTGACAGCAGCAGGGGGGGGGGTGCCTGACACTGGCGGGCAAGAAGCTCCGCAGCCGACAACAGTAGGCGGTGATCGGCGATGTCAATCAGCAATTGGTGACATAAGTCATGATTGTGATGACGACGCTGAGGCCATGGGGGTGGCGGCAGGCAGTGCACACAGTGGGCGGGGGCGGGGAGGCAGCCGGGAAGGTGATGGCAGGATCCAGGCCTCTTTCCCCGCTACCAGGGTCCCGGGGGGTAAAAAAAACTTTTTGTATATAAAAGATTTGGGCCTTATATGGGTGTAAAGCTAATTTCCATAGTCTGGGCCAATCCCACTAATCCTGCCCAGTCCCACTGATTTGTGTCCCATCAGTGGGATTCGTGCAGTCAAATGTGGCTTTTTGGGGGACTGTGGGGGGTAGTAGTCCTGCCAAGAAAAGCCAGATGATATGGGGAAGCGGGGAGAATAAAAAGACAGAGATAATGCAAGATGCTGGTATGTGAGAAGATTGTACTGGGATGTCAACTGAACACACATATGGTCATGGAATCAAATCCATCAGGCTACATTGCCATCTACCTCTTTTTTGCATAATGTGGGATCGATCCTGGTCCACTCATGATCAAACGGGGCCTTATGGTCTTCCTTATGAACATCAAGGATTGGTGGGAGGACAAGAGAGATTTTGGAGTAATACGGCAATGTACTTAACTTTCTGGAATATTGCTATTTTGGAATAGGTTTTTCAAGATCAAAAATCAAAGATTTTCTTTCAGGTTTTCACTTTGCATTTACCCATGGGTTAGGATACTATGAGTGAAGCTGGTTTCAAAATTGTTTTGAAACCATTTTCGAAACAGGTGTTAGTTTTGATATATGCGGCCAGCTGACCAAGTTTCAAAACCAACACATGTTTTTTGGCAGTGAGGCTGTCACTAACACTAGCTGAGCTTGGCCCACATCGTGCTCCCCGAGCTTGTGATGCCCGGGGCTGTCCCGAGCTGCCCACTGTCAGTGGACCCCCCAGGCTGGCCGGTTTCAAACTGTTCTGAAATGGGGGGGTGGAGGGGTTTCGAAACTGGTGTGAGTAATACTTTCTGCATTACTCACAGCACCCTACCATGCGTGGCCTGCAGTGTGATGACTACTGTTCCTGATACTATAATACAGGAGATTGATCATGAACCCACAACAGTGGATTTTCTTTTTACTAGAGGATATCATCTATACAATGTAAGGGTAACCCTCGAGACTCCGACGAAAAGCCTAGCAGGGGAGGATCCA